AGCTCTATGACGAGAACAGCACAGGGACTCGTCAGCACAGAGCGTGCAGATGAAGAGGAGCTCAGCCAGAACCGACCTCCCAAGAAGGCCCAGAGCATCATCTGAGATGCCGCTCACCCCTCACAAGACTGAGAAACAGCTTCTTCCCAAGATCTGAAGCCAGACTCCAGGACTGGGAATGGTACTACCTTGGACTGTTGTTCCCACTTCGTTCACACACTCCCCCCTTTATATCTATACACAGTCATCTTATTTATTATTAATAATAATAATAATAAGACCTACAGTAGATGTACCTTGAAATAAAGTGACTGCGCCTTTGGATCAAGAGGAGCCAGGTAAGGTGGTTCAGACATCTCATGAAGATGCCTCCTGGTCAGCTCTCATGGAAGCTGCTCCTGGACAATGGAAGCTGGTAGCTATACTGAGAATGTCTAGGGATCCCGCATAATAAATGACATTCTGTGGCCATAGAAAAGGAGGTCAGGCGTATAATATAGTTTGACCATCTACTACAAAAACTAATCTTCTATAGCAGTGTCTCACTACAAGGTCACAGTTAACATCAAGCTAAACACAGGCCGCATAAGTCACGCGGTAACTAAACACCACGGACAGAAGGCCAGTTCATTACAGGGTGCGCACACACAAACACACTTTGGGCAACTTGAAGACATCGATTTACTTATCTAATGTTCTCTAGACAGAGACAGCACAAGCATAGTATCTAAATACATAATAATCACACTTTCTTCTAGTGAAATGTCTTAGTCTTTAAAACAGGGCTGGGCAGTATAATCGGCTTTTTACAGCATAGCGATATATTTTGAGATGAGATACAGAATGAGACAGTACTGTCTATATTGATATACTTTTATTGTGCATCAAAATAAAGGCTGAGAAAGTTAACACATTAGTGTTAATTTTATTCTCATACCGCATTATAGTTTTGCTGATTATATTATCACATGCATTCATTTTAATACCCCAATGGGGGAACATGGAGGATAAATAAATTCACAAATTAAATAAATAAACAAACTAATAACTAAATCTTTGGTATAAACAAGATGGTAAATAATAAACAGCAATAAGTCTTCGACAAAGTCTTTACAAACAAACAAATAGAATAATATGTAAAATAAATTAATGAATAATCTGCAATCAATCAATCACGCTCTCTCTCTTTCTATCTGGCAGGGTATTCCACAAAGCAGAATTTCCCAGTTAGCTGGATAACATAAGCCAAACATGAAAACTGTCCAACAGGAGGAGAGGTAAGTGACATTCCCATTGGACAAACATTACTTAAGTTAACCCATCTAACTGAGAAACCCTAACAATTTCAGGCAGAAACAACCGTATAGCTGACTGCACACTGTACTTCAGACGTAATCGATGTCGTTTGGCAATACGACGTCATATGACGCATAATCACCACGGTGTTCACCGTCTCGGTGTACCACCTGGGCAGGGTCCCTGAGGCAAACTTTTTCATTTGTTCTGATCCCACCCACTAATAACTATCCACGATTGGCTGACATAAATGTGACGCTGCAGGATTGGTCAGCAGGACTAATTAAGCAGTTACCTGCATGCTTTGCACCCAACTGCACTTCAAATAGTGTAAATGAATGTGTGTATTCATGTGTTTCTGTACGTCAAAAGTAAACATCAAAACTGTGCAATGTCATGGAACGTGTGTTTTGTTAGCGTGTAAGTGTATCTTTAAATTGTTGGCTCCCCTGTCTGTGCCTCTTCTAGTATAAACCAATAGTGGCTGTTAATAAAGAGAGCAGCTCCCATTTTAAATGAGCTGTCATCTCCTTTATTAAAATGACACACTTAATTGCCACAAAATGTTTATTTGTCCTCTGTATGTGGGTACGCTGCATCAAAAACATTCTGCCCCTGAACGAACGAACGAACAAGATGGCAGTGTCGTTTTAAGTATGCGAAACATTGTTCCTGCTGACGTGTTTGATTTTGTTTTGTCTGGGCGTCGTTTGAAGTTTACGACTACCTTTAGGCCTCTCGGTTTTGGTATGCTGATGTGGCAAGAAGACATGTTTGGTTACATGTCAGCATGTTTTGAGGTGTCACGGTCCTTGTCACCCAATCAACCCTTAAAGATTGACCACTCTGACAGAAGGAATGCACATGCAGCTACATTCCAAAGAAATATCTTCAGTTCTTAATACCAGACACTGTGCTTCTGTTTCTAGACTCTAGTATTTAGGTTTCAATTCCTGACTCAGTTACGACTAAACCGAATACTTTGAAGCAACCATGATGTGTCAAGCCCAAAACTGAAGAGAATAAAAGTAGAACAATGAGATAGGATAATCTTTATTGTGTCTGCACAGAGAGCTGTCTTATACTAAGGGAGTGAAGCTTACAGTATGGGACATAATAGTTGGGGTTAGTCTGTAAGTTTAACCAAGTAAGTTTAGGGCATGCCAATAATTTTGGAATAAACTGAATATACCATTTCCACTTTCCCACAAAATAGCCCATGCCATGTGTCACACTGCTGGGCACCTGCTAGCTTGTGACATTTGCGGTGTACTCTGAAATTTAATCTAACAGATTTCATTCTACGCACATCACTATACACTTGTTATTCATGTTTAATCAATATGAAATATAAACATAAAGAGTACCTTCACCTCTGTATCCAAATAGTTGTTCTCCATGCCTACAATCTCCTCAGTTTAACTCCACGATTAAGTTAATCTTAAAAACATACAGCGAAAATATAAGTACACACAATGGACCCCCCACCGCCAACATTGTGAAACGATAAATCAGAATTTGCAGAGAAACTCAATCGAAGCTCACATCACCATTTAACAAGTACCATGTTATATAGGACAAAGTTAACAAATTATCCTCCCGACCTCCTAATGCTGTCGCTGAGCAGATGAAGGACGTGTGACAAGTCCTTCTTGATCACGTTAAAAACGAACAGAACCGGACAAGCGTAGATCGACCTGGGAGGGGCTGATCACTATCAACGATAAGCAACGCCTCCGCATAAACTGATATTGCTCAATTTATAAACAACAGAAGATGAATCAACGGAGACATACGTTCCTTATTCCCGATTATTAAAGACAAAGCATAATCTTCAACACGCTTACAATGAAACTGCCGCCCATCTCAGTTCACACGGGATAAATGTAAATACAGGCGAAAAGACTGAAGTTTCAACTTAACGCGCGCTGTATTAAATGCAGTCCCGCAAAACGTCCGCGCAATTACAGCTTTCGACGCGTTAACAAGCAGTTCACTGTCAGCTAACCGATCGGTTGATTGTATATGTCTTTTGTTTCACGTAAACGATTTTAACAGCTGTTTGTGTCCCATCGTGACTGCATTAGCCAGAAAGCGAAACTGAGCTCCGGCCTCCGAAATGGGCATGCAGCGAAATGAGAGCTAAACTCAGCCCAGGGTCGCGCTGCCAGTATCTCCCTGTTATTTCTGGAGGTTTAAAGACGATCGCCTGCTGTTCGCGAGGAGGTCCTGCGTGTTTTCCAAAGCGCACATTGCCTACGTGACGGGATCGTTTACTCCCTGCGCCTTGAGTGAAATCCTCAGCAAAAAGAGTCGCCTTTCGCTCCGTCCCCGGTGACACTAAGGCAATTTAAAAAAATATTTATACTCGTGTAAATTAAAGGCGGCTGTCTCTCACCCTTCACGCCAAGGTGCTGGGTGCTTCTGGAGCCCCTCATCCTGGAGGATCTGAGCAGAACGTCAATCGTCGTCTCACTCCGTGTCTCTGAATGAGAGCTCAGCCTCGTACAACCGGCCAGAGAAGATCGCAAAGCCTATAAGAACCGCACATATGCAAAAAGTAGCCTTGCAGCTTTATATATAGCTAACGGGGAAATCGTGACGTCCAGTTGCATGCCAATTCAGCGTGAAATGGTGTACTGTACATTTTCGTCATAATTCATTTACTACCCCAGAATGTTCTTTCTAACATGCGCATTGGCTTTATTCATGTTCTTGATTGTATGTACATATTGGCGAGTTGATTCAATTAAAAAGAAAAAAAACATTTTCGTCATAATGTTGACCATAATTACGCCCTCGTCATTGTTGTCATTGTTTTGTTCCCTTTTGTTTTTAGCATTCGTAATTGATTGTATTTAATTGTTTACTTATGTTGGTTTTGCTTTTCAAGTTAATGTTCACCTTCTAAAAATACTTAGGTACACTTTCTTTGTTTTTAAATGAGGGTATACAGAAGCGACCGCTTCTGTCAAACTCATGCATGTTTTATGGATGTTGTTCTTCATGATTTATTAAAATGCCGCTTTTAATTTTAGTCGTTTAAAACGAAGTTATACAAATTATAATAATATAATAGACACATGTTTCTGTGTGAGAATACTGGAATAATAAAACCACACAACTCAGTCTCTGTGTAGTGAATGACGTCATTAACAGCGCTCACCATGTTAATTGTAATCGCGCAGGGGCCAGTAATGTGAGTGAGTGAATTTTGGAGATTCCAGGTGATACACGTGTTACAGACAAGGTATGTTAGGTGTGGCAAAGTATAGAGAAAACATGTTTTAAAAACAAGCAATTAAAAGAGATAACCAACCACTCCTCTTACGAGGCCCAAATATTAAGCGCTCAATCATACTTTTTGATATTAATAGGAAAATCCATCTAGTCAGTTTATACGTTATGTTCCCTCAATTCACGTTACATTTTTTTGTCGAATAGGCCTATCACCATAAGTAAAAAAAACACACAGAAAACCCTTTTCCATAACTTTAAATGGGAAATTATAACACGATTTTCCGAGTTAACACCAGAATTATATACAGAAACACAATTAACATATACATAAAATAAATAATAAAGTTAATGTAATTAAGCTTTATTGTACGTGACGAGTTTTTTTACACATGACGTTTGACTGAAACCGGGCGTGGGTTCAGTTTATTTTAATTCCACTCATTGTGAGGAATCCAGAAATTAGGTCATATATGTTTTATTTTTATTCGTGGAAATCGGTCCAGAATTCGAAATTGTGATATAAAACTGTAAATCGAGGGATTTCGATAATATAATGAATGCGGACAGAACAGTTTTTAACGTTAACAACATTAGGAGGGGCCTTCGACCCTTGACAGGTGATGCTGAAGACAAGAAACTTCTACATAGCATTAAAGGACTTAATTCTTATGTATAAACACGCTACGTCTATACAGTGTAATGCCATATTGCAGAAAGGTATCATAAGACGCAAAAAATGGGTAATTACTTTGTAGAGTCAGTCACAATACATTCTGTGTAAAATTCTTCTGTAAATTTTAAAAAGAAGGTTGCTTTAATGTCCCATTAATTATTGATTTAAAATGATTTTCATTTGAGCTCCCATTGTGTGGTGAAAAGTTCCATCTGGGTACAGTTTGCAAAAGCCATTTTCCTATATTAGACAATTCTTCCAGAGTCTATAGTGGAAACTTAGTGGTGTCAATCTTCTTTAGACTCATCACCATTCTCATCTGCAAATGCAAGAGGAAAGCTTACAAAATAGATCAGGATATTTAAAACTCAAGCCTATTCAGAATATCAGTTTGTACTGACTGTCAGTCAGAGTCGATCTGATTTAAACACAGATCTCCATATCTCTGAACGCTTGGGATATCATGTGAGCTGATGAGATCCTGGCATAATTGAAACCTTGGTAACTTTGGAAAGATTCAATCCTTGTCTCGGTGGTCATTGTTCAACAGGACCTGCATACTTGATGGAGGATGGTAACTGTGTGGGGTGAAAATACTGGAGGGTATGAGTAGTGATTTGTAATGATCAGTGGACGGAAGTGAAGGGTGAGTGGTAGATACCTGCAAATAACATAGGGTGCATCTTCATGACGTTCTTCAAAGCACTGAGCACGCTACCGGTCCCCATGGTAGAAGATGGGTCTCTTTCCTTGCTGTATGTATCTGTGATCTGTCAGTCACATACACAGTTGAATCAGATGTTAAGTTAGACTGATGACAGAAAACATGCATAAAGAATAATGGTACAGTATAAGGATATGTTTATCCAAATCTGTATCCTCAAAATTAAAATATAATGGATTTGCAGTTTACTGCTCGACAAGTAACTCATGTTGCACTGATTTTTATATTGATATTTTTCCCCCTTAGATGTTTTGGGAAACAACTATAAAAACAAACCCTTTCATAAAACATAGTCTTGGTTTATGGTCGATATCCGGTCTGCTTGTTCCTATATGGTTTTCCTGTTGTCTGGTGTTATTTAGTAACCAGTCAATATGCAGATTAATAGTAGAATTAAATGAGAGGGATGGTAAATTTTTACGTGGTATCTGGTTAAGACGTGATCTTACTCATCTCATTATCACCCCAAAAAGCGTAATTGACTAGAGAACTAGACAACTAAACCTTGTTATCCTCACAAATGTTGTGTACATCTGTCTATCTATCACACAACAGCAACTCTCAAGCAATCCACAGTACACAAAAACCAAAAGTTTTGAAGAGTAGCTTCCTATTTTATACAAGGACTCAGCAGATCTCTGTAGATCTGTTGCCTCACAGTTCCAGGTTAACAGATTGATTATGGTCCAGCTCTTTGCAATATATGCATGTTCTACATATGTTTCCTGTCATGGTGAATCCAAATTCAGGTGCACGGCCATCGCTGTGGGGCCTGGGGCAGACCCTGGGTCATCATGCTAAGATCAGCGCGGTAATCCTGGCTGAGTATATTCTGATAAAGGCCAGGGTTGAGTTTCCCGAAGACTTCTTAATGCTACGTCGTTTGTTGGTTCTATCTTTTAACACAGAACTTAAGAACGACGTAGCGTTAAGAAGGCTTCGGGAAACTCAACCCAGACTGATTACTAATCATTTCTTAAGTAACAGTAATTTTTCACTCACTTTAAAGTTCAAATTGGTTGTTAATTCAATCTGGGGGATATGATAACTATTCTGTTTGCGGGTTTAATAAAAATTAAATACGTTTCATTTACAGTTTACTTCTAATACTTCTACTTATTGTGCTTTTATCATATTCACATACTATGTATAGTGTTTTATTTTATATAACTATGTATTTTCAAGGGTAGGTCACTGGGATTTAAAACAGCATTCCATCAGTTGCTTTTCCAGTTCTTCAAGTTTAAACCAAGTTACTCTTGGTAAAAAGCAGCGAGAGAGGGATTTAAAATCTGTTTTCATTTTAGTGTACTTCAGTAATATTTCAGTCCATTGACCAAATTCCTCCAGTCAGCACAACTCAAAGGGTCAGATAAACAGAAACAACATGTAAGATGTGTGCTTAAGTTGCACTTATCAGCATTTGGCAAATTTTGTGGTTTAGTAAAGATTTAGTAGATTCTAAGTATCTTATAATAGGGCAGCAGACTGTGAAATACTGTGTTCAAGTGCTAAATGGTGCCAGAATCGCCTTCTGGAGTCAAATTAGTTTTTATTAAATTAATATTAGTCATTGACAGCCAGGCTCAGCATCTCACCAGCTTCTGGTTGCCATCCTCCCTGGTGTGCTGCGCCAAGGACACAGACCTTTGCAGTCCCGCCAAGGGGGATAAAACACAAGGCTTAAGAGGGAAGGGCAGTGGAGGTGGAGACCCAGTCTGAACAAGAAAGGACGCAGGTAGTTGGGGGGCGGGTACAGAAGGAGGCGGGGGCAAGGACTCCAGGCTGAAGGGAATGGGCAGGGTTAGGCCCACCCGAGACCCCAGGGATAAGTCTTGGATGCTTTGGCTGCGTAGGATTGACCCTGGGGCCCCTGTGGCACGGGGCCCGGCCATGGCGGGCAGGGGCGGCAGTGGTCCCTTCTTCAAGGTCAGTGCCGAGGGGGGGCCTCTGCTCCTGGGCAGGGTCTGTGCAGGAAGTCCTACGGCAAAGATGATATGAGTTTACATTAGTGAATGAACAAAGGAGGTCTGGCTCATGACTGTTTTGATTATATCCAGTAGAATTATAAAGCAGCACAGATGCCAGCAGAGTCGTCTGTGAAGGCTGCGCAAACTCAGGAAGGAGTGCAAGATGTTGGCCGGGCATTTGGTGCCAGGGCCAGGTGTGGGCACCTCCATGTCGCATCTCCTTCCTGACAGCGTCCAGGCCTCCGTGCTGCTCGATGACGCTGTGGATGAGCCAGGAGCTGTGTCTGTCCCGTAGGTGCTTCTCTCGAATGCCTGCTTTTGTAAAGAGCTTCTGCAGAGCTGGATCCAGATTATTAACCTGCCAAACAATATAGAGATCGCAAGGAAGGCAAAACAAAAAGAGACAATAAAATGTGTGACATCAATGAAGGACCGAGGTCTGATTGTCTATTGTTAACGTAAAAATGTGCTTCACCGAAATGCATCTATCTTTCTGTAACATCACTGGAGTGGCCGTAGCCCTGTTTCTGGTCAGTAAATATTTGATGATGTACTTACACACTGAATGGCATTGATTTTGTACAGTTACTTCCCTCTTTTAATGACACTCACATCAAAGCCTTTGTCGTGGGTCCAATCTGCGGGGGTGGAATGCCTGAGAAAGGCATGAATAAAGGTTAAGGGGCAGAATACTGTGTAACACACTGTGTTCTGTACTGCTGAGATATGGCACAGTGTTTAAAATTGCCTCTTTACTTTAAAATATGTGTAATCTTCTTATTTAATAAGATGTACGAATATGAATACGAATGTATCTTGTAAGTGTTTAAAATATACCATTGACTGGAGGCATTGTACAATTAATTGAATGATCTCAAATGTTTCCTTGTTGTATCTGGATTCTTAATACGGCAAAGTCAAGGTTAGCGGGAGACAGAAATTTGAATAATAGCCTCACAACACTGATGTGTGCTGTGTTTCAGATACAGTCACTCCTCACTTAACGACCGAGTTCTGTTACTACAGCTAAGTTGTTAAGCGAGCTGGTTGGTAAGGGAGGAGCAGCCCCCTTACCGATATTTCAGGCATACTGTACTGGTAGTGGGTTTGTGTAAACCATCTTTAGATATTGTTTTAATGTCACTTTTGCAATATTTGTAACATTATTAGTATATTTATAAATGTCTATACAGTAGTGTACTGTATACTGTAATAAATAGAATTACTCAGGTTTCCATGCTGTAAATACAGGTAATTGCTTTTATTTATTATGAATAATGAAATGGTCTAATGCAAACTCCAACTTGAGAACTTTGTCGGACAACTGGCCGGAGAGCTGGTCGTAAGTCTGGATGGTCATTAAACAGGTAGTTCGTTAAGTGTGGAGTGTCTGTACTTTATTTTTGGCACTATTTCAATATTTCTGTAGATCTTGAATTTTGATGATACAACAAGGAGTCTTTAATCATTCTTGCCATGAGACTCATTGGTGCGTAACTTAATTACTCTGTGTCAGATTTTTGCGCATTTTTTTTCTGCTCACTTCGTAGTGGAGGGACAGCTGACATCAGATGGGACTGATGTCTGCTTGAAGAACCAGCTGGAAGAGGAGCCTAGACTTTGTGTCCTGGGTCCAAGCTGTTTGGCCCCTGTACACCAGTGAAGGAGACACTCTGATGCAAACCGTGCTTATAGCAAATGGCACTTAAGTAGGCAAATAATATGAGCAAATAAAACATGCTGTTCTGTTATTTAAAGGCACGCCACATGTGTGAGAAGCTACAAACGCACCGCGTGCCATTTCCGTCATGTGTAGGATCTGCATGTCCGCAGCGATGCGAAACCTTTCAGCTTCTGCCTCGTCTGCGAAGTTCAAACCTGCTTGGCAATCCTGCAGGCACACACACAGCAACGTCTGCGTTAGACAAACTACTGAAGTGTGACAAGTACAGCGTTCGGATCCTCTCTGTGGATTCTCCATCCATCGCACACGGTAGAGGACATGCACTCAGCTATGCCGTTTGGAGATGCTAATTAGCCTACCTGGATGTATTTGGACTGTGGGAGGAAGCAGCACACCCAGGCAAAACCCACACGACATGGGGAGAACATGCAAGCGCTACACATAGAGAACAGAGGGAAGATTCAAGTCCCCAGCCTTGAAGGTGAGACGCATCAGTGTCACCTACTGAGCCGTAATTGTAGTCTGGGACTTATAAAATTGTATTCATTACAGCTTTATTTATTCATCATTTCTCCCTGTCTCAGTCACTCAAGCATTACAACCCACTTAAAAACCACTTTAAAAAACAATATATATATATATGTTTATAATTCCAAATTGTGTGCACAATGAGAGGCTGATTGGGGGAGGGGGGGTGTGGTTTGTTCTCACATCTGCAAGGAAGCTGTGGAAGAAGGGGCGGGGGGCAGAGTACTTGAATGTGGTGTAGAGCTCCTGTTCCCACAGCAATTTTCCTCTCTGGGGGAGATAGAGAAAATGATTCAGTCATCTTGGGACACAGCCGAATTATAACATCGGATGAAAAGGACAGAAAGCAGGTGACTGCAGGAAGAGATGATCAAGGCAGCTTTGCAGATTCCAGCTGCTGAGTCACTCTGACCTTGACGCTGTACAGGCGCAGGAAGCAGGATCTCAGTGTCTGATCCCTGACCAGACACATCACCCCCCCATCCTTATAACGCCAGGCGGGCCCCCCAGCGCTGGCTTCTGAGCGGGCTTCATACACCTGGGCCACAGCACATGCCACTGCCTGCGATGGGGACAGTCAAGGTTAAGGGGGGACTGCAGCGTGACGCATTATCAGCACAAGCACTTTACCGAGTCATAATCCATTAACACAATTGTTAACAGTGCCTCTGATGAGTTACTCTACTCCTAAAAGTAGAGTAACCCGTCAAGTCACTTGCTGGTTTAATGGTTAGCGCTGTTCGCTTGCACCTCCAGATCCGGGGTTTTGAATCCGACCTCTGTTCTGTGTGTGTGGAGTTTGCATGTTTTCCTGTGTTGCACAGGTTTCACCCTGCAGTCCAAAGACATGCAGTCAAGCTAACTGTATGATGGATCCCATGTAGGGGGGACTTGAGCCTCTTTTCCTGTGCTGCCTAAGATAGGATCCAAATGACTTTCACTAGGATATGTGGTTAGAAAATGAACGACTGTCAGATACTGTATGATAATATAACATCAATTGTAATTTATTATTATTAGAGTTATTGGACACTGCTGTGACACTTGGTTTCAATGTTCCATCCATCCATCTGTCCAACTTCCAACTGCTTATCTTAGGAAAGGCCTCAGGTCCATCCATCCATGCAATGCAAATTGAATCTAAAGTGAGATTCTCAAATCAAAACTTTGATAATATCCGTTTTATATTTATTGTTATTAATTTTGATTATGATTACACTGACACACAGAATAGCTGGGACTGGTCTTGCCAGCTTCTGCTTTTTCCTGTTGTGTTGTGTTTTCATGATAACCTCTGTTTCTATGCTGCTGAATTACAGGGTGTCACTTATATTGTAGATATTTATTCAAGTGATACATAGAGGCTGTCTTGGGGGGGTGAGCCAGGTGACCACGGCTATTAGTGTTGATTCCTGCCACCTGCTCTTTCTTCATGACTAAACGTATAAACTGGTGTGTTTATTCTTGCTCCAGTAAACCTAACCAGACATTGATGGCAGTCTTGAATCCTGTTAAAATTTATTTTGTTTTCAGTGTAGGATGGCTGTAATGCTGTACTGGATAAGAGGTTGGATGATGGATTGATGGATTGATGGATGGATGGAAGGATGGATGGATGGATGGTGCACATACTTGAGTTTTGTTTTCTTTTTTCTTGGTCAAATAGCACCTTTGTTTTGTATTTCCTTTGTAGTGCTTGTAGATCTAGTCTTTTCAGTAGATCTACCTGCTGGTATAACCATTATATGACTTATTTTGTGTATATAGTGCACGTCAATATTGTGCTGATATGAAGGTACATTCCGACTGATCCTATTATTATAATCATATTGTTACTTTGTATCAATACATTTCAAACGTCACAATTAATTTGGCTCTTCAAATAGGAGTGCTTCTGCTTATGAAATGCACTTTATCAGTATGACTAGTTTCGTTTTGTACAAGTGGAACATATCCTGTATCTTCAAATGAGCTTCAAATATATATTTAAAAAATAACATTCAGGAACTGTCAGCTCCAATGTTGGCGTCGGTGCCACCGGATAATAAGACCATAAAGTTCATACTCAAAAGCAAGAGCTGGTTTGTAGTAGGAAAGGGGCACAATGAACTGGTGCAGCACTTAGTTGCTTGCTAAAATAAAAAGGGAGAGAAACAGTGCAGTTCTTGTGCCAGAGTTACAGGGCAGGGGAAGAGTGGATGGAGCGACTATGGGATAAACAGCAGTGTCATAAGAGACAGGACAGTGCAAGACAAAGATAGACTTTGGAAACCAGTGCGTGACCTTAAGGAAAACTAGCTTCTAGTACATTGTCACCTACTGTGACCTTACATTGTTGGGAAATGCTGGAAATGTCTTGGATAGGAATTTTTCAGCTCCATTACAATCTTTTGGGACCACCATAATCATGAGGTCCATGACTGTGTGTGTGAAATGGTTTTGGAGGAGTTTGACCAGAGAGTGAAGGTAAAGTGGCAAGTGCTGAGCATATGTGGTACCTCCTTCAGGACAGCTGGAAAAGCATCCCAGGAGACCAGCTGGCATGGAGGAGACATTAAGGACAGCCAGTCCCTGGAGCGATTGGGGTTAACAGCCTTGCTCAAGGGCCCAATGGTGGGACCACTCTGCCGATCACGGAATCTGAACCAGGAACTTTCTGATTCCCATCCCACAGAGCAGTTTTGATTACTCTATAATTAACCTAAAACGTAGAGAATGGTACAAAGGAACGTTTCTATGGGTTATCTGTGTCCAAACTTTCGACTGGTTCTTAATGTATATACACTATTTTGTATTGGGACACCTGCCTTTACACACACACAAACTTTAATGACATCCCATTCTTAATACATAACAGCTTTTATGGAAAGGCTGTTCACAAGGTTTAGGATTGTTTATGGGAATTTTTGACTATTCTTCCAGGAGAACATTTGTGAGGTCAGACACTGATGTTGGATGAGAAGGCCTGACTCATAGTCTTCCCCAAACTGTTCCCACAAAGTTGGGAGCATGAAATTGTCCAAAATGGCTTCAAATGCTGCAGCATTGAGTTTCTTTCACTGGAACTAAGGGGCCAAGCCCAACCCCTGAAAAACAACCCCACACTATAATCCCCCCTCCACCAAACTTTACACTTGGCACAATGCAGTCAGGAAAGTATAGTTCTCCTGGCAACTGCTAAACTCAGACTCGTCCATCTGGCTGCCAGGCAGAGAAGCCTGATTCGTCACTGCAGAGAACACATCTTCACTGCTGTAAAGTCCAGTGGCAGTGTGCTTTACACCGCTGCATGCGACACTTTGCATTGCACTCCATGGTGTAAGGCTTGGATGCAGCTGCTCAGCCATGGAAACCCATTCCATGAAGTTCCCTACTCACTGTTCTTGAAATAATCTGAAGGCTACATGAAGTTTGGAGGTCTGTAGCTATTGACTCTACAGACAGTTGGCGACTTCATAAGAACATAAGAAATTTACAAACGAGAGGAGGCCATTCGGCCCATCAAGCTCATTTGGGGAGAACTTAACTAATAGCTCAGAGTTGTTAAAATCTTATCTAGCTCTGATTTAAAAGAACCCAGTGTTTTAGCTTCCGCTACAGTCAATCAGCCTCTCATTGTGCACAAAATTTGGAATTATAAACATTTATATATATATTGCTTTTTAAAGTGGTTTTTAACAGGAAGACTATTCCATACTCTAACTACACGCTGTAACTGTCATGTGTGTGTTTTGCATGTGAGTGTGTGTGTGTGTGTTTTGCTTCTTTGTTTGATTTTGAATAAATTGCTGTATGGAGTAACTGTGATGCTCAGGCTGTTACAGTTGAGTCATTGTTTGTCTGATTTGAATATTCATAATTCCTGCTGGCAGCACTGATGTTTACAGAGCAGGCTGGAGATACAGGACCACACATCCCCTGTGCATATTCACAGCTTAAACTGTAAGTCTGCTTCTACTGACATGACACAATGGACTGACGTGAAGAAGGTAAAAATAACTACAGAAAGGAAAGAGGCTGTTTACCTTGAAAAATTTTATCTGGGGAGACTTTCTAACTGGAGGTACAGAAATACCTCTAGCCACTCCAGAAGTTGTATATTCCCTGTACTTTTAACCATTCATTAGCGAGAGCTACTTATTTGATAAAAAATATATCTATAGCTCTAAGCTCTTTATGTGTAGCTCTGAAAATACATACAAAGCATCAGCGGCTACAGCGGGACTGACCCTGACCATCTGGTCTCAGACACGACATGTCCTGGATATCTTCACTCTTGGAAAGTCACAGTCTTGAAGCTCAAATGGTTTTACCCTTCTCTGTTACATATCTCTATTTTGGACTGGATATTTCATACATATTAAACTATACTGCAGGGTTATTTTTCTCACTTGTTTATTTAATTGTGTTAAATTAATAGCAACTGGAAAATTACGATTGAATGAAAATTTATAATATATACAAAGAGTGTATTTTTTCATTAAAATAATATAGTTACCCCTGAAATTTTTTATTCCGTTCTTATGCTTCAAAAGAAGAAAACATCACAACAGCCAAAGCAAGGCATGGATGAGGCAGGAAAGTGCTTTCTGATGCTACAGGCGTCCAGGTGTGGCGGTCTGAATATCAGCAGTAGACAGGGGCCTGATCACACACCCCTCTGTTAATGCTATTCATAGGCGCTCAAAATAAGGTTTTTCATTCACACTGTTGGAAATCAGTGAAGTCCTGGCACAGGGAGGTGGATCAGGACTTACCGAGCAGGTGGGTCCCATCAGGGCGAAAAGCAATGCATTCTCCCTGGGCGAGATGAGCTCACTGTAGATGTGCAATTCTGAGCTGGGCTCCATTATCCTGCGCCCTCTCTCTCTCTCTCTCTCTCTCGACTTCCTCTGGAGTCAATTTATAATCAATATGATGCCACGCAATCTACTACAACTTAAATTAAAAGCTCTTGCCTTTTGATCAGGCTTTCTTACATTTTAGTCTACTTGGTTTGACCCTCTCCATGGCACGTCATTCACTTCACCCTGGCAAATCCCCACCCATCCTTTGCCACACCCACCACCCACATGCCCATGGATAACACCCCCGCCAAATGCAAATCTGCGGCCTAACTTTCCTGCTATGCATGAACCAACTATATGCAGATAAAATACGTCCGTCTATCTTAATCTAGTGCAGAACATATAAGGGATAACAGCATATTGCAGCACACATACACACACTCTATGGGCAATTTTAGATATACCAATTCACAAAAAAAATGAACTGTGGGAGGAACCTTATTAGAATTTGCAAACTCCAAACATAACCAACAGGGGGCACTGTGAAACCACATATATCCAGCAGATATAAAGTTGGTATCAAATGTAAACTTCACTACGAACCTTCACAGTGCCTGCATCCAAATGTATATTGGGGGGAAAAAATGCAAAGTAAAATAGGGATTCAGAAAAGATATAGTTTTAATAGCTGAAAAGTAGAACTAGGTAACAGCAACAACAATAAATGGTCTGGTCTTGAGCCCCGGGGGTGCTGGTGAAAGGTCTTATTGCCACTAAAGTCCATGAGGTTCCCTCCGGTCAGCTGCAATGAGCTTCCCAGCTGCAAAGAGCAGATGGGTGAAGTGGGAGCCACACGTCGGGGGCTGCAGTGCGATTGCCAGGCCAGTAGGTGGCAGTAGTTAAGAAAGGCATTCGGGGGGGACTGACCCATGTCGTGTGATGTGGATTTTCCTCCACAAAGTAGAAAGTGGCCGGATACATCAGCATACTCACACTAAAGCTCGTTCACACACACGGAGGCAATGCTGCTTTAGTGATGAAATAAAGATTTAACTTGTCAGACATCAAGACTTCGTTTTAGTACAACCATTGCATTACATCATTTTCCATTGGTACCATTCAAGGGCACACCCCCTTCCCATGCCCCAAGTGTCTCATTGGCTATTGCACAAGCTGCTGGCTCCTCCCCCTCCCCCTCCGCCTTTTGAAGTGCCTGCCCTCTTGCGTCTCTTGTTTAGCAGAGGATTGCTAGAGGTGTCCAGGTCCTTGATCTTCACCTGGTCATAGTCCACGCGCATGGTGGCCAGTGCACTGGTCATCTCATCCTGCACACACACACACACACACACACACACACACACACAGGCAGCGTCGTGTCAGACAGTGTGACTGTGAGGCATGACCTGTGCACAGGTCACATAGGATAAACAAATGCAGGAGCTTCAAGTACATCCCCAGAAAATAACCTTTAAACGCTAATTCTGAACTGGCCAGAGGCCAAACAGCAATGACAAATTCTTACTGAAACAGTATTAAAATACAAAAAAGAACAAAACACTACATTGATTTCAACTTGAATTTACAGTAAATTCATGTAATACAGCTTAAAAATTAAACACATATTTATAATTCACAAAAAAAAAATCTAGTAAGTCAGAGGCTCAGGTTTTTATTTCTTGGATTGTTCTTGTGTCTAGAACTGTATTGTGGTTTGTTTATACAGTGGTACCTCGGTTCTCAAACTCACTAGAACTCGACTTTCTTGAAAGTCGAACAAACCAGTTTGACCTAGAACTCGATCTGAATAACAGAGGTCGAACTGTGAACACTGACCTAATATAAATTGTACGCGCCAGGAAATGAGTCATACTACAATGCAATTCTTACTTGAATGCCTTCTTCACAGACTGGACGATTAACCAAATAAAGCAGCGCAACATTACAGTAACTAACAATAAATAAACCACTAACTTACGTGTACTATTAGAGCATTTATGTAATTTATTTAAACTTTATTTTACCAGGTAAATTAACTGAAAACCAGTTCTCACTGCTTTACGTGATATTCGGGAGAAATAGCAGATTACGCATCGGAACTGCCTGGGATACAAACGTCATGCGTGTAACTAAACTCTTCAGTCAATAAGGCCAAAAGTGGAGGCGGTTCCAGTTTGTGCAGCCGGGTTAGGGGTCGCAATGCATCTAACTGGAATGCATTGCGTCAGGATCAGAATGCGTTGCTTTAAGCCAGCGCTGTAAGCAAGTCGAACACACCCAGTGACCAGGACTGAGGAAACAAGCTGAAACGCGGACTTAATACAGAGGACTAATGATAACAACCAGAAACAGCTGATCACATGGGGATCCCACACGAGGTTAACGAGGGGGCGTGGCACACGGAAGGAGCGGACGATCGGGGCGGCACAGGGGTAATGTTGGGATAAGATCTTTATCGTTTTGGAAGCCATTAAGAAAAAAATGCTCTTCTTGTTTTATCCTGTTCATTTTGAATTTAAATGCTAAAATTTTTTTTTTTTATTTAGGTGTAATTTTGGGGGGGGGGCGGGAACCAATTAATTGGTTTTCCATTATTTCTTATGGGAAAAATTCGATCAGAACTCAAACTTTTTAGGATTCGATCTGAAGTCCGGAACGGATTAAAGTTCGAGAACCGAGGTACCACTGTAATTATTACTAGCAGGTGCAATAAGCTGTACAGCAATAGCCACCAGGGGGCAGCATCATACAGAAGACCTGCAAAAAGTCCATTCTCTCACCTTTACGTCATCCCACATCTCCCTGTCTTCCATCAGGACTCGTGTGGTGTGCAGAGGTGTTGGGGGAACCGCCATTGACTGCTGTGATAAAACAACCATGCACAGATTTCCCGACCGTATACATAAATCTGCAACAAATTGCGAGTAAGTGAGGGCTGCACCATGACGGCAGGGGCTGCAAGGACTTACATTGATCCAGGGGTGGTTCATGAATTGAGAGATGGTCATCCTCTCACTGGGGTCAGTCTTCAGTAGCTGGCGGATCAGCTGCTTGGCTGAGAAAAGGACAAAGGCCTCACAGGTCAGTCACAGAGATAACTGTACACTTTCCATTTAAACTGTACACTGTACACTTTCCATTTAAACTGAACACTGTATACTTTCCATTTAAATAAGCATTATTATTGTTATCCATCCATCCATTTTCTGAAACTGCCATGGGGGGGGGGGGAGTCTGGAGCCAGTTCCAGAGGCTATGGGCACAAAGCAGGGAACAACCCAGGATGGGCACAGTCACACACCATTCACTCACACACACATACCTAAGGGCAATTTGGCAACTCCAATCAGCCTCGCAGAATAGTCCCCGCACTTTGGGACTATTCTGTGTTAAATGAACAGCATTGATGACACAAAGCAGAAGAGCCTGCATCCAGCATATATTCAGATCTTTAGGGCTTTTCAGATGCTGGCGTTGGACTTGTTTTCGGCAGGCAGTCCCTAAAGTTCTGAGGCTCCCACCTTCTTCAGATACATCGTCCCACTCCGGGTTGGGAAACTCGTATTGGCCCATCCGAATGCGCCGCTTCATCCCAGGGGAGATGGCCTGTCCCGTGTTGGAATAGAAGGGGGGGAATCCACACAGCCTGGGGGGAAACGGATACAAACACAATGTCACCTTCTGGACAAAACAGTGCACTGTCATTTTTGGCCAAGATGAAGGTCACCCCTATTTACTACAAATGTAATATAACCAGAAGCACTTTTGAAAATGACATGCAACCTTATAAAGTGAGAATTCATGCATTTCTTGATAAAAATAAAGGATTCTGTGGGCAATAAGCAATCTGTGGGTGTATCACCTCTACTCATACGTCAGCACTATTGTACTCTAAAGTAGTTATTATTTTCTATGTGTGAAAAGGGGCAATAGATAAGGTGAAGAAGGCATCAAGTGGAGCAGGACAGGTGTGTTAGATTCCTAAACACACACACACACACACACACACATCTACACACTGTCTATACTCACAGGATGTACATGATGACACCAAGAGACCACATGTCACATGACTTGTCATACTTCTCCGGACCGAGCACTTCAGGGGCTGACAGGGACAGATGAGATATTAACCACCTTATATAAATATATACACATCTGTTAAATGACAATGCACCCTGTTTAAATGATAATGACAACTTTGCTAGAATAACGATGCTTCTACTAATGATGTGGCGAAAATATAACAGCTTGTCATCTAAAACGTTTCTTCTGTCAACAAAAATACAAAATTATGAATACTCATAGATATATTTACGCAATTTACATAATTATATTTATTGCAGCAATGCAGAGGCAGGTGAAATGATCAGCTGAGAGCAGATGCTCCTATGATGTTTTGCTTGGTATGTTTGTTTTGAATTTTGCTTTTAAATTGTTGTTGGTTTTGATGCAGGTATTGCTATTCTGCGACACTGAGCTGTCTTAGCTTAGCTCCTTCATTGAATACCATTTTATTTTAGTCCTGCCTCAAGCCCCTTTTCCTTACAATGAAGTCCATACTTGTAACACGCTGCCAGCTTCTTGTTAAAAAACAGGGTTTGATACTCCTGTACTCTGAGCTGAACTTCCCCTGTCGCTCTCTTTCAGACCCCTGGATCGCCCTGATTCCACTATTGCCTGTAGTTCAGAAACCAACACGGGATACAGACCAACGTAATAGGGAGTGTAGCAGGGAGTTAGCAGAGAGTTCTGCAGCGTGGTCTCCTTGGCAAAGCCAAAGTCGGTCAATTTCAAGACACGATTGGTTTCCTTGGTAGTGTACAGCAGGTTCTCGGGCTGGGGGGAGAGACGGCACAGGGACACGCGGTCAGCTCTATTACGGTCATTGTCTCAATGACGGTACCGTCATCATCGCCATAACAACCGCCTCTCCCTCCCACACGGTACAGCGAGACGCAAGGGTCGCTCTCACCTTGACGTCCCTGTGCGCGACGTTCATGCGGTGCAGGTACTCGATGGCCGTCCCGATGTCGCGCATGATATTCGAGGCCTCTGTAGAAGAGAGTTGGGCAGGGCTCAGTGTGATGGAGGACACCATGGAACACAGAAGGACAGCACAGCAGGGCACAGGATGCAAAGCATGATGGGATATATGGAAATAGAACAGATGCACACTAAAGCCTTATACATCATGGGGATTTTCTAGGGTGAATCCTGATGCATCTTCTCCGTAGTTTCTAAACGATTTATACGCAATTCATATACATTTGACGTATGTTACATTACGTCAATTTAATGATGCTCCTGGAATGACATTCATTGTTAAACTGAGAAGTGTTTTTAAGTCAACGGACATTCCTTTTTGTGTAAAAATGCACTGGGGGAACTGCACAGCTCGAGATCGCAGCTGAAATCACAACCCTTCAGGGGTGAGACCACAGTGCTAGCAACTCCTGTTCTATGAGCAAAGTGTGATAGGACAGGACACATGGCCGTGGTCCATCCCTGCAGGGAGAAGCAGCTGACTGGGATTGTTTGTATTGATTTGTTCCACCTATGTATTGGTGAGTCATACTGTTGTGCTGCACACTCATTGGCTGATAACCTCAACACTGAAAAATGTCAATGCGGTGTTTGTTTATTTCTGTTTCTGTCAGAGTAACTCCTGTATCTTGTTTTTGTATTTCTTGGTACCATCCCTGCCCCCTCCCTGACTACCCCTATTAAGGGAAAACATTATAACAAAAGCTTTCTTGCTGCAAAGCCCTTATTTAATAGGGTTCCATTGTCAAACGCATTTCTACCACTTTTTAAATGAATTTATGTGAGGAAGCTTGTCACCATTAACTGGTGTGACAGAGTACAGCCACAGCAAAAGCCTGTATACAAGGGACAGGGGGCCAGAAGTGGCACTAATTCACCATTATCAAGAAACCAGTTCCTTTACTTCACTGCTACATCAGGTCCATATCACACTGCACCCAGTAGAGCAGCACAAGGTGTGATGCAAATATCGACATAGCATGTTATGTACATGCGATTGTCACTTTGCATGGACTGCTATTGTAAGCTGAGTTAGGTTACGCTAAAACACTTAAGAAGCTTTGCAGTTTTGATGATCGGTCCTTTTCAGGATTATCTAGAAAATATTAGAAAAAAGACAGTATAATGTTTGCCGCAGCTGCTTTTGCATGAGCTCTGCATGCGCTTTTTGAGCCAATGATGATTATTTTCATCCTTTTTGTTGGACTCAGTTAGTGAGAAATTTAACGAGTGAGGAAGAGAAAAGCGAACAAGAAATGGTGACCAAAAGACATTCGCCTTCTGTTGTATGGATATATTTTGAAAACATAGATAATATTGAGACAAAACAAATGAATTGTCTGCACTGCTTTGTGTCTGTTGGCACAATTCGTGGCAACACCAGACAATTCTCGTACGCAACAACAAGTTCCATTTGGCTACAGTTTATTTCAGGTAAATTTCAACTACTTTTTTGTTTAATATTGCAATTTTAAGTGCAAAGATTGATGTGATTTTTTCCCCATGTCGTGCAACGCTAGCACCCACCCCAGGCTGACCTCTCTCAGTGAAGGCTTGGTCTCCTCGTGCCTGAATCTGGCTAAAGAGCTCTCCGCCTTCCATGCTGAAACGAGACCAACAACACGTCCATTAGACAACACTGCCCCCCCCTCCATCACCCCCCCTCAAACATCAGCCAGGGTTAGCTGCCAGCTGCTACCAAACTTCCTCAAAGAGAACAACGTACACCATGTGAATCAGCAATGACAAAACTATGAGGTTCATTTGTCGTAAAGATTAAATATCAAAAAATGAAACTAAATTGAGGGGTATGCAGACCTTGACCTGAAGGAAAATTTTACAGTGGTGGATCTACAGCGGAAACTTCAGAGCCGATTCCACCCACATGCGGTTGTCGGTCTGCCTCGGCTCCATGACGAACCTACAATAAGACTGAAACCTGCGGGTAACTTACTACAGCTCACACGCAGCTCAGAACCAAAGCCCACTTTACTGAGTGGAAACAAAACAAAAGCTCTTCCCGGTTCCGCTGTGTCTCCTGTGTACTACTCCTCCTTTTCTGAATGATCTTGTTCATCAATGCCACCCATTCTCCAAAAAGCCTTGCATCATCTCTCTCATATATGTGCCAAAGACAGATTGCATGACCAAATTAGGTCATCCACCTCCTCCCCACTGCTGGACCGCAGGGCCAAAATGAAACAGGTGATGTTAGTGGGAGCCTTCCCAGAGTTCATCACTTATAAATAAAAGTATTGTAAGCTCCTCCCTTATTGTGGTTTTGACTGCTCTGGCTGCTATAGTGATGAAAGGCTTGTTTGACCTGTTTGTAGCCAATCCACATAATCTAGTCCACCTTTGAGGCCGTAATTTGAGGCCCAGTGAGACTTTTTCAGCACTGTGATTAGATCTGCAGGTGAAACGACAACAGGCCCGTGATTATAAATGCCCAGCTGGCCTCCGGACTCAAACTGAAGCGAAGTGCTACACTGGACAAACACGTCGTCAACAAAACACACTGAGCTTATCAGGCCTAAAAAATACCTTCTAATAAAAAGACTATTGTTCCAAACGCTAAGCTGTCCAAAGGCACACGTCGATCAGCAAACATTTCCTCCACACACAAATGCTATTGGCATATTTTTTATAATACTTGAATCATGTTGAGTTGAGTTCACAGGAGCCGTGCGAAGAAGCCCGAGCTGGAAAGGAGCAGTCCGGCACTCCAGTGAAACAGCTGTGAAGCAGTGAGGGGGGAGTGCAGTGTGAGCAGTGGGGGGCGGGGGGGGGGGGTCCGTACCACTCCATGATAATGAGCAGACACTTCTTCCCACGGTACACGTTCTCATAGAGGGTGAGGATCCGCACGACGTGGGGCCCCCATGATGCCCGCCAGTGCAGCTCCACCTCCCGCCGGGACTTAGGAGTGTCGTAGAGGACCTGTCCCAGGGAGGGGAGACGTGTGAGGAGGTACAGCGCATGAATGCCGCCACCTGAATCATCGCTCAACCACAACCATAGGATTCAATCAAAACTCATGTAGATATTCAATGATAGAGTTTTATCAATGGCTGATACTCAAACACCAGAGGAAAATCGTTAGTATAATGCTGAGGACCCTTGCCTATGGCAGGAGGCTGGGGTTCGATTACCTGATTGGGATGAGCTGGGTGCTGTTTGAGGGGTGGTGTGTAGCGCAGCGGGCTAGGCCTCTATGCCTGTGATGTGAAGCTCACAGGTTTGAATCACATTCTCAGCAGAATAGTTCATGTCCATTGAGACCCAGGGCAAGGCCTTTAAACCCCCCCATGCAAATTTTTGTTTTAAAGGGTGGTTCGGGAAAACTCATTTACATTTATGAGAGAAGCGCTACCTGATAGACCAGTGAATGCCGCCCCCCGACACAAACACACAAAACATTCAAGGGGTGCCAGAAACATGGCCTCACACTGTGCTGTATATTCAAAGAGAAGCATTCCAATGTACCTGTTCTTGGGAAAATGGCAAATAAAGCATCAATTCATTTCAAATGACTGTAACTTTGCATTTCATATGACCAGGGTAAATGAGTGAGACATACTTCTCTGAGCAGGTGTACGCCTCAGGAAACACAACAACTGCCAATTTAATTTTTCAGCTAATGAACAAAAAATAATGACATAACGCCACAGCTAAATCCCTCCAGATGATGACCAACAGCAGCCCTGCAGCTCCCACATTCACCGAGCCAGATATTCCCCTCCCCCCCCCATGCCGCCCGGCGATCTCTCATCCCCTCGTCCAAGAATAACCGCGAGTCCTTGTGATAACCACATACCTGCCGACGACAGGCATTTCGGGGGGGGGGGGGGACGACACAATCAGCCAAACATAAAAAAGGCAGATCTGGATTTTACTACGATTTGGGGGGACATCCTGTGGCAGAGTCACTTTTGGTTTTTGGTAGCACTGGTCATACATGTACGTACCAAGGCGACTGCATCTGCTGACAGACAGCAACACAACCCAGCTTCGTCCAATCAGCTTGTCAACCGTCACTGGCCCACAAGGGGTTAAACTCAGTTTGACACTAGGGGAAATCTGAACTACGTAAAAGAGGCTCCCTGTGAGTGTGTGACTAAAAATGATAGAAGTCTTGTTTGGTTACTCATGGTTAAGGTTAGGGCTGGGTAGGGGTTAGGGTTGTCACTGTTGGGAATAGATTTTTTCCTATAGAAATGAATGGAGAGTCCCCACAAAGATATGAGTACAGGGGCCTGTACTATGAAGCGGGGTTACTGGCTTATCGGGGTAACTTGTCGGAATTAAGGTAGTCTGGGCAAAATGTAAGTGAACGAATATGAAGTCCATTTAAACTGTGGTACCTTAAATTCAACAAGTTACCCCGATAAGCCAGTAACGCCGCTTCATAGTACAGGCCACAGGTCTGTGTGTGCGTGTATGTGTACGTGTGTGTGCGTGTAAGTGTGTGTGTTTGTGTGTGCGTGTATGTGTACGTGTGTGTGCGTGTAAGTGTGTGTTTGTGTGTGTGTATGTGTACGTGTGTGTGCGTGTAAGTGTGTGTGTTTGTGTGTGCGTGTATGTGTACGTGTGTGTGCGTGTAAGTGTGTGTGTTTGTGTGTGTGTGTATTTGTACGTGTGTGTGCGTTTAAGTGTGTGTGTTTGTGTGTGCGTGTATGTGTACGTGTGTGTGCGTGTAAGTGAGTGTGTTTGTGTGTGTGTGTGTGTGTACGTGTGTGTGTTCATTGTGAAATGGAACCTCAAAGCTGAAAATGGAGGCTTTGGGCTTCCTGCAGAAAACCAAATATCCGCTTTCCTTGAACTGCACAGCATCTGCCGCCTCGCCTCAGTGCCCCCCCACCCCCCTAACCCTCCCTTCCTCTTTCACCTTCTGTTCTGCTTCTCCCCATCGGCTTTGAGTCACGCTGCATTTTACACTGACACAAAAATAAACAACGTTATTACACGCCGCCGCAGTCGCGTTAAGTGCTAAACGCCCACGTTTCAAATGAGGCGACAATGTTAACGCCACACAGAGGATGCTGGGAAGGACATCGGCGGAGGTACAGTGCAGGTGTTCGGCATTTTAAGCTGTATCTAGAACAGAGTAATTTGCAGTGGGATGACCCAAATTGAGCCGTTTTTCATGGAGGTCCACTGAGGTCTGCTAACTCTTTATTCAACATTATTTACATTAAACTCCCCCTGGAGCACTCTCTAGCATGATAAATTTATTAATGGTTTCACACCTGTACTGTTAAAAGGAAAAAAAGTTTAAAATGGCCAGAAGCTATTATGGATGTTATGGGGAGCAACAAAAAAATGTATTAGCGCTGAGTGTGAGAGCAGAAGAGAGGATAAGCGCGTTATAATCCAGGCAGTCGGGGGTAAAAAAGAAGGAAGGGAGTGGGGAAGGCGAGCATGGATGGGAGCGAGATGAGGGCTGGGAAGAGCTGAAGCCGGCTGTGACCGGTGAAGGAGCCACTGGTAAATCTCTGGCTGGCTGTTAATCTGAGCCGACGCTGCTGACTTAGGAAACAAAGGCAGCCACACCTGGTGGCCATTTATCCAGCACTGATCGGCTCCATGACAGCGACACGCAAAGGCCAGGATCGATGGGGCAGCCCGGGTTAGGGGGGGTTTAATCGGGCTGAATGCCCTATGCTCAGGGGCGGATTAACGCACAGGCTAGATATGGCTTAAGCCTAGGGGCCCCACGTGTGCCAGCCTGCAAGGGGGCCCCCATTGGCGCGGAGGGGGGCGGGGTTGGGGGGCCCACAGACTACTGTAGCCTAGGGGCCTCTGTACACCTTAATCCGCCCCTGCCTATGCTGCCCCCCCTCCCCCAGTCATCCTGCGGGGAATAAAACTGCCCATTTAGACCGGACAGCTAAGACATTCACCCTGCCAGATACCTCACAGCAGTCGCTAAATATCAGCTGCCATGAGCTGGCTATCAGCCCTGAGGACCCCCTACAGGACTGGGGGCAACACCGCAGCCACAAGGGCAGCAGCAATGGAGAGCCATGCAGGGACAAGTGAGCTCCTACACCTTATCCAGTAGTTATGGATGGATGGATGTGGGAGTGGGTAGGTGGGTGGATGCATGGATTCATGTGTGAGTGGGTGGGTGGGTGGATGGATGGATGCATGGATGTGTAGGTGGGTGGATGGATGGATGTGTGGGTGGGTGGATGGATGGATGGATGTGTGAATGGATGGATGTGTGGATGGATGGATGGGTGGATGGATGGATGGATGCATTTGTGAGTGGGTGAGTGGATGGATGGATGGATGGATGAATGCATTTGTGAGTGGGTGAGTGGATGGATGGATGCATTTGTGAGTGGGTGAGTGGATGGATGGATGGATGCATTTGTGAGTGGGTGAGTGGATGGATGGATGCATGCATACAGGTGAGCACAGCTCAAGATGAGGGACAGTAATGGCCATGAGAGGAGGTGGACGCAGACCTAATGTGACAAGTGAATATATGACATGAGTGCTGCTGGGAGAGGGAGCAGATTGTGCATATGCAACTGGGGAATAAAAATAAGAAAGCTAAAAATAAATCCCGCCGAGCAGCAGTCAGTAACCCTTTCCATGGTGGCCAATGGCGGCCCTCAAGGGACCAGCGTCCCTGCAGGCTTCTGATGATGCAGCCTGATTACTGCCTCACTCACACCTGAAACATCCGCTGCACTAGATCACTGTCCAAGTAAGTGTGTGAACAAAAAACTCAAACAAAAAGTCCACAAAGACAGGAGATGGAAATTCCTGCACAACGCCATGGACTTTACCACGCGTTCAGTCACCATTCAGGAGACACTACGTGTATGAATGCAAGCTTATGGCATGAGGGAACAGGCACAGATTTGGGAAGCAGCATTTTTTTGTGCGTCCGGCCCTGAATGCCAATGTGACATATCTTTCTGAATGGCCCGGAGAAAGAGAAAAACCACAAAATAGGATCCGGCTCTACAGCAAGGCATTCTGGGTCATGCCACCAGGACATAACCCAAAAGTTTCTAAAAACAGTGCATTTTAGCAAAGTTCATGCTGTGCAAAAAAAAAAAAAAACAATGAACAAACGAATCTGATCATGTAATCTGATCTGCTAATATTGTGTTTTGCTCACTACTGAGTAATGAAAGACAAAGTCTGCAGCAAGAGAATGCTTTATAAATAAATAAGTGGATTGTTTTCAAATTTAATTATTAATATTTGATATCCCACAGTATATAGCCAGTCACATCCTCCATGTCACACAGTCCTGGTTAAAGAGCTGGATGGAAACATTTATATTTACCATATAGTTTCTGTTCGTGTGGGACTCCCCGCAAATCACTGCTTCTCTTTTCCTTTAAGAAAGAAGCTCTGTTTCCACTGAGATACACAATACCCACCCAGGGACAGCAGCCATTCACCCAGAGTCCATCCTACAGCAAGGAAGGCGGCATGATAGAAGGTAGCATCTATTACCTGGAAAATATTATTCACGATACACAAGGTCCTTTCTCCTGTCTGCACTAGTTTTTCTTGCTTATCTCTATGTACACGGAGGGACAGTCAGATCTACAGGTACTTCAGGTCTGAATGATTAGCGGCTGCTGTCCTGTATAACTTCCCGTTTAGTGATGTGCGTCGTGTCAGTGATTCATATGGACTTGGTTAATTCCGACTGGGCATATGGAGGAAATCCATTGATATCATAACAATTCCTGGCCCAGCAATGCAGACACGGCCCCACTACGCTGAGCTAATGATAGGTCGGGCGAAATAAAACACAGCTGCTCTCTGACAGACATGCCACCAAATTCTGGATGGAAACAATAAAAGTGAAGGTGACTGATTTACAGTAAAAGGAACCCCCCCCAGCCAGACATATAGAGTACATGTGCCGATCTGTCACTGATGGCCACGTAATTAATTAATATTACATGGAGGATCTCTATCAAGTCTTCCCATTATATTGTCATGGCTCTCCCGCTTTCTGTCATCTCTATGTCACGTAATATCCCAACAATCACACAAGAATCAACAAGTCCAACCCTGAATGGGAAACCTAAGTGTCAGAGGCTAGAAGATTACACCACCCCCCTTGCCCCCACCCTGCCTGTGGTCATAGGTTGGGTGTGAAACTGTGGTCAAATCAGCAGGTGAAAATCGTTGTACAGGCCACCTAATATTGTTACTCATATGGCACTTAATCAGAGGGCCGACTTCGTTTTTGTACAGGGTATACTAAGAAATTACCAATTTTAGATCGTGATATCTAAAAGTACATAATCTGAATAAATGATAATAATAATCGTTCTCTCTCTAGTGTCGTTATCAACGGTATCTTCCCGGCCATGTAGACAAACTGAACAAAAGGTATCTCTGCATCGTACTAAACCGAACCCTTATTTATGCACGTACTATCAAAATGTCCCAGATGAAGAAGACTGGATACTGTACAGGTCCAATTCACGCCATGACATCTCTGAAGCTGACTCATATGCAGTAAACGTAGGCGATGTATAAGGTCCACACACATGTCCAGTGAAATTAAACGTATTTGCCTTTCGTAAGACTTTGGCACTGTAGTATCAGAGGATCTTAGAGATCAGATGCCTAAAATAAATACTGCCTCTTCGAATTAAGTACAGGGGTGATAAAAAAGTCCAAGTTCTATTGAATTTAAAGGATGGTTAAAATTGGCAAAAGTAGCCTACATATGGAAAGAAAGAGTCACACAAATGGTACCTTTAAAGCGCACTTTTCTCCTGTCTTCTTGTTGCGGCACTCCAGCACTCTCCCGTTGATTCCCAGCCCTAAGACCTGGCTGGAAATCTTGAAATCGTCCGTCATTGAATTGCGCTTTATTTCCAGTTTAGGATAAACGGGCACCAAGCTTGAGAGCTCCGTCTGGCCGCCGCCGTCCGGGCTGGACGCGCTACTCCGGGTCGGATCCTTCTCTGTTTCATCTTCGGGTTTAGTCTCTGGCTCCGGCTTTTCCTCCTGCCCGTTGCCATTGTGTAGCATGTTCTTTGTCAAATCTGGCCGTGCCTCCCCAACGTTAAGCGGTAAGGAAGCGAGGAAATCCCTCCAGGGAAGATAAATGTCAGATGTCCCGGAATCGCAGCCTCTAGAAGCGCCACAATTCTGGCAGCAGCCGTGATGTTTCTGTCCCCAGGTCAGTGCGATCTGCTCGGGATGGCACCGCTACGCAGTAACTCAATACGGTTTTCTTCTATTTCCTAATTTTGCTTTCCAGAATTGTTCTTCAAAGTTTGTGCGACACTTAAAGCCCAATGCTATTTTTGGATTGCCTTGCCATAAGACAAGGGCAAAACTATAGAATAATTAAAAGACGTATAATCTTTCATAATGATTACATTAATTAGGCAAAAAAATGTTTAATTGTACGCCTTCGGTTTACACAAATAGAAACTCAAATTAAAAAATCTACTATACTTACAAAATAGTACCACAGTATGGTATCATTCTGCCAGAAACATTATACATTTTTTGTATTCTTTTTCTTCTTCTTAATTACTATTATTACTGCTACTACTATTTTGTTGTTACTAATATTCTTATCACTGCTAGGAACCGGTTAACTATTTTTAACAGTATAGACGGATATACCTTACAGAGCAGCTTAATTTAAAAATAAAAGTGCAGTGTAATTTATACTCTAACGAATCGTAATTTCACTGAAACTGAAAGCAATGAAACCTTCATAGAAGGTCAGCAGCCGGCTTCTTCTTAACGCGGATTTTCTCTGCCTCCGCTCGTACACGAACTCTTAAGTAGCAGCGCTACGTCAGCGTCCCCTCGCGGAGCGCCGTCTCTGCCCTTAAAGGGGCCGCTCGCACCGGCCACACGAAGGCTGACAGCCAATGCTCCGGGCAAGAGCTTGTTCTCCTTATCAATCAGTTAGTCAGCATTTAAACTTTGTATATTTGGTTTAGTTCGGAACCCCAGTTGTGTGAATAATTTGCTTGCTATTGACTGTAGTGCATTTTCACTCGTAGTGCAACAACAACTAGCCTATATAGTCGTGGTCATCATCATCATCATCATCATCATCATCATCATCATCATCATCATCATCATCATCATTATCCCTTGCCACTGCGGGAAATACTGGATGTATTTTAATACATTTTATTATTATTATAATTACTATGGAGCTTTTCAAGATTTTCAAGCAAAAAAAAAAACCTTCCTCCAGTAATGTCATGGTCGTTATCTAAAAGTGACAAAGATTACATATCATTTTATTTCTTTATTTGTTGATTTATTTATTCAACAGATTACATGAGGAATTACTGCATAGGTGTATGACCAAACATACCACACATTTTTTTTTGCGAATAGTACTATTGGTGCCATCTGAGCAGCAGGGTGGAGCGTCAAGCAGTGGAATGGAAATGTGGCTAAACAAGGCTAACTAAAGAGCAAGTGGGCAAAGTGTGAAATAGAGAAGGCCAGTGTCAAATTAAACCAGGTACATGGAAGATGACATCACCGATACTAACAGCCGTTTCCTTCCTACTTATTCATAACCTCTGTTTCTGATGTTTACTAGAGATTTCAAGAAACACTCTTTGCAAAGGATGAGTCTCTCTGCTAGTGTAACGTCACAATGGAATGATTTCAGACAGGCTACATGACCTCAACACCCTGCCTACCTACTGCGGCATCGCTCTCTGAGGCCCGGCAGTCATCAAACAGCTAACAAACGAGTTCTGTGCTTCCATTTTGGAGTGATGTCTGGCTGTTGGTCTTATGACTCCAGTGGAAAATGGCAAATATTATCTGCAAATATTGATATACCGTGTGTCACATTGTGTCTATGATGAAACACATACATTCAAACGTATATATTTAGGCTTTTCAGTGGATCATTTTTCTAAAAACTTTAAATACTACTAATGAAGAGAAAGTCAGGCACTTTATTTACATTTGTATTTGTCAATAAGGACCTATTTCCCTTCCTTATTACTATGTAATGGGACAGATATTTAAGAGCTGTTTAATCCATAAACACTCCCTAAGGAGCCAATGTGTATCTAATGAATTTCCTTTTGGCACTCAATATACTGTAATTTTTCACATTACGCTCAGCATCTTCTAATTAATTCAATGGGTAATATTTTTTAATCTAGTACCTTGTGGATTTCTGAGCATGGAATGTTTTGTCATCTTCTCTCATTGGAGATTTCACACTGTACGCCCTCTAGTGACCGTGAAGGTGAATGACAAGAAGCTCTTTGCAATTCACATACACACTCTAACATGAAAGGCAATTAAAGAAAAAAAAACACAATTTAATATTAGAAATTATATAAAAATTGATGGTAGCACAGTAAAAATTAACAAGAATTTCTTCTATTCTTCAAAAAGTTATTGATATCTTGTTGGATGGCTAGATGAACACCGCTTCAGTTCTGAAAGATCTCCTCAGGGTACCCCAGCCATTCCATGTATTTGCTAATCACCACCAGCTCAATTAATTAATTACATTATTTAAATAACTCAATGTGGTATTGATTAGGCAAACACGGTGTGCTATTGGTCAAGTGAACAAACAAATGGGTGTATTAGACAAGTAGTTCTCAACCTTTTTTGCACTGAGACCCAATTTTTACCAGCGCAGTCATGACCCAATTTCAAGTACAGGTCTCAGTTAACACTATGATCAAACGTGCAGCGCACTCTCCAATTTATGCCAATCAATGCCTATTGCACAAATCTGATTGGATGTGCCGGTGAATTTTAAATTAAGCATCTGTGGTTTGTCTTCTTGGATTGGTTGAGTGTTCACTAGTTTTGCACTAAGCATTTGCAGACCCAAGACCCATTGATATATAGCTTAATTGTAGGATTGGGGCTGGGAAATCTGATCGTGGATCAGCATAGGAGCTTGCTGGTTTTTAAAATGCTTACATTTCCAACCTGTGACCCTTTCAGAACTTGCCGCAACCCAAATGGGTTGAGAATCGCTGTATTAGACAGTTGCTGCAAATACTGACTTGACTTGAGAGTTTTTGAAAAGGCTAAACTGACACATTTTAACAGACATAATATCATAATTCTACACCAACAGGAAGATCATTTAAACATCATTTTTCTGACTGACTTTTGCGCCGTATATTTAAAATATATAATGCATTACATTAATGTGCGCAATTTTAAAAATAAAGAAATCCTGAATACGTAATATACTATTTTATCCACTCTGCTGAAATTTCAATATCTGCTATCATTCCATGAAATAAAAGCTTTTCAAAATAGACTCTCTAGAATGTGATACTAATGAACAGTACCAATTTCTGCATGCCACTGCATTTCTAGAGTCCAATGGGCTTTCAGGTGAGCCCTGAAGCAGAGTAATGTTCATTCACAGAGAGCCACCTTGTCTGGGAACTGGGTGAGGCAGGACGTTCTGGAAGATCACCTGCATGCAGGGGCAGCCCAGCCGGGACAGGCAGATCCGGACGAGGTCCCTGTCGGGACCAGAAGGCATTCGACATGCTCCAGTGACACTCGTCCCTTGTCTGACTCCTGACGTGCATCATGCACCATGACACACATGTGAACACATTGAGAAAGAACCTCAGTGGCATAGTTACTGGTGTAGGAATCAATATACTGTAGCAAAGTTGTAGTGTTAATATCTGCCTGCCCAACTATGCATGTGTTTACAGTAAGACGGTTTTCAGCTCACCTTTCTTTCTGCACTTTACATTGACTCCTCAACTCTGCTCCCTCTGCTTCTGCTCCTTCTGGTCTCCCTGTTTACCTGCCGTGCTCAATGAAAGACAGCCCCAGGTTCGACTCCTACATCGAGGCAATGGGCTTGCCCCAGCCTGCCTCAGCCAATCAGAGCGCAGCACATGTTCCCCAGGGTACAGGAGTACTTTGCAGAGAGATCCAAGTATGAGGGGGGGTGAAATGGAGAACACAGAGGTGACATGCAGACTCCCATTTACTAACATATAATTCAGTACAGGAACATTCCCAATGAATGGAAAAAATCCTGTAATCATCATCAAGCAATATTTAAGAGCTGTTTAAAACATGACGGTTTAAATATATTGGAAAAGATGTTTATTGTTATCAAAAAATGTGAGTGGTGTGTGTGTGTGGGGCAGGGGGGGGTATGTATATATTACATTGTGTGGACCAAATGTCCCCAAGATGTGATTTTAATGTCGTGGGGATCATTTCATAAAAATCTGTCACTGCAATAAAAAAAATGTTAACAGCCAAAAGTCTAATGTTTGGTTACTTATGGTTAAGTTTAGGGCTGCAAAGGGGTTAAGGGTGTTATAGTCAAGCCTATGGCCATAGAAAGGAACTGATGGCCCCCACCAAGATATGAATACAAAGGTGTGTGTGTGAGAGTGTGCATATATGTGTGTGTGTGAGTGTGTGTATGTGTGTGTGTGTGTGTGTACATTAATGTACCTCTCTCCCAAGCAGCCTCATTGGCCAAGACTCCCCCAGCCTGACAATCACGTGACTCTCCCAGGGACTGCTGGGGGTTTTTGTCCACTGACCTCCCGCTGTGCCATCCCAAGGTGGATGGGGGGGAGTGAAGGCTCTGCGCTATGCCCCCCACCTGCACATTCTGCATATCAGCCAACAGCTCTTCATGTGAAATGCCCCACTGTCAACAAAGGGTTGGAAGTCAGACAGAAGAGGTCAGGCAACACAATCAGCTTCAGGTTCAGTATTCATACGACAGGTGTGAATTGTGGGATACTGCTAATATGCAGCTGCTCCCAGGCAGCTCAGCCTGTGGCCCTTTAGCCTCTTTGTGATGTCCGGCTTTCCCTCATAATTATTGGTTGAGAAGACTGACGACCATTAGTCTATAGCAATGGGCCTGGTTTTTCAGGGATGAGGTTCTGGATGCTTGAAAAAAAATGTGCTGTTATCTATCATAGTAATTATTTTCATTATGAAACTACAAAATTTCAACTACGTGCCAAGTCACCTAAAAAGTAGAGTGACAGAGTGTCACAAGACATGACCTGGCCACCTGATCTAAACTGTTCTGGAGTTTGACCAGAGAGTCAATTATTATTTTTTTGTTTAATACTTTTTTGATCTGTGCATAATCCATAATGTTATTTTTTAGCTTTGATGTCTTTATAATTATTCGAAAATGTAGAGAATTGTACAAATAAACGTTTCTGTGGGTAGATATACACCAGCATCCAACTATACCCCGCTGTTTGATTTTTTTTTATCGTTTTGTGTGATAAAAAATCCCATCATATTTTGCAAACATATCGTTACGTCATGCTCGCGCTAGGAGGCGCTCGAGACACATGTAATTTGTATTAAAAGCAAACGACAATAACTAAAACTTCCATATATCGTATATACAAAAAATGCCAAATATGGATTCTGATTACTAGGATGACGTGCATACAGTACAAGACGTATGGGACAAGGGAGGTGGGAGGTTATAAGCCCCCAATAATCAAAACCAGCCAATACAACCCCCTGGACCCCCTTAAATGGGTGGAGACCTCACCCAATGCTCAATGCATTATACATTGATCTAATATATACACAATACCAGTGTGGAAGAAACAGTAGACTCCATCGCCTGAGCAGGACACACATGCAGCTTAGACACTTCAGTTCGTTCCATAACCAACATCTCGATGTCGGTCAGAGTTGGCTTGTCGCGCGTCCATTTGTGCAGATCCCCCATGCTGTCGAGCGTCTCCCGAAATGCTCTCCTTACCGCGATCCACTCCGAAAGTTCCTTCACCGGGTCATCCACCCTGATCTCCTGTAACGAGTCTTTTTGCACTGATTCTGCCGTACAGCTATTAGAGTTCGTGAAACGGGACATCCGTGCAAGACGTTTTGCACTGAGGAGGACGGTGCACTGAACCAGTTCACCAAATTATTAGTGTGTAATGTCTGAAGTATAGATCTGTCTTTTTAATGCGTTTTCGTTGTTCCCATATGTGTTATCCATGATTTTTTAGAACGCAAAAAATAAACACGCTTTAGACACTAAGAGATAGGTAATAAAGACATTTCAAATTCGACGTTATGCAGCAAAGAAACAAACCTTGCGTCGAGAAAGTAATTCTCCCAGTACTGCGCGCACTCCGTGGAGGTCATATGTCTGTGTTGACCATGGTGTCTATAGCAACCTCTTTTCAGGCTTTGCAAAAAGTTTTCAATTATTTTTTTAATGCATTTAGTATAACGTTAATGTTGTTTAATTGTACATAAAATACACAAGTATTATAAATCTAATTTTCAGTTTAAACTTTCATACTATTTTTAGTTTGATGGCTTTTATATTGACCTTAGTTTCAGTACAGTAATTACTGTATCAGCTTGTTAATAATATGCACTAACGAAAGGTAATTTAAAACCAGAACACACTGGCTGACTGGCTAATTATTTATTTTTGTATTTAAATGAAAGCCTACAATTTGATGACATATTGCAACTTTGTGTTATACGTTTACAGTTTGGACTGAAGAACACTAATTACTAATATGCCATTGATAATGATGAATATATTCTACCGGTTGAAATGAAAACTGCATCTGTAGGCATGAAAACATCACTAAACATCAATTTATAACATCAGAACAACCCTTTAATTTCACACATGGCAAAACCACCCCTTTAATTTCACACATGGCAAAACCACCCCTTTAATTTCACACATGGCATTTTAACAGAATTTGAGGAAATTTTCAAGCACTAACCCAAATCTGAGACCCTAAATAACATGTGCACTTCATGTATCTTGTTAATCAGCACACAGTGCACCTCCACTGCACCTCCACTGCATCATCACTTCCTCTCCTGGCCATTATGATGCCCTGCTGGATGTTTTTCCTTCTGCCCAGTGATGACTTTCATGATTATCCCAGGTAAATAGATATATTATAGCACATGTAAGGATTTAGCTGCAATCAACGAATTTTTAAAGCTTTCTAACTATCGTTTTTTAACAGTTGTAAATGTTATTTTCCCAAAAGTGCAAAATAATAATAATTTAGGAAGAAATATTGATTATATAATCAAGGTGGTGTGTGTGATCTGTTGGCACTGAGCCAGCACTGCATTCCTCCATCTTGGTATATTTCAACCCTGAAAAGCTCGCTCAAGCAACTGCTCGTCTTCCACAGGGAAAGGCAGGGTGACCTGCAGCTGGCTGTGCTCCTCCATGGTGCGCTGGATGGTGTCGTAAGCATTACTGTTCCCAGACCAGCAGCGTCTCGCTACCTAGGAGGCCAGAGAAAATCATGCGGCAAACTTAGCAGACATCAGTTAATGAGATTCACCAAAACTCCGGCTGCTCTATTACCCCGTTGGAGACGTCCCAGTTGAGCATCATCCGAGCACGTTGGCCAGCTTCTTCTGACCCATCTAGGACCAACCCGAAGCCCCCGTTAATCACCTCGCCCCTGAACGAAGCAAAAACATGCCAAAAATACGTTTACATATGGGCAGCTATGATCTATTTTAACATAAGTCACCCGGTTGTATTTTAATCTGTGCCTTGCCAATTTGCCAGAGCACCAGTGGAATTCTGCCAGTGACTTTCTGATGGTTCGTGAATATATTGTCACATTACAGATTCCTGGCAATATTTATAGTCTTTTGAGAGCGTGCACATTGACAGTGAGGAGTCGTTAATGAGGTGCAGCCTTCCTTACCAGCCCACACCTCCGCCGTTATGCAGAGCTATCCAGGTGGCCCCACGGAAAGAACCGCCCACAAAGTTCTGCACAGCCATGTCTGTGGGCAACAGAGAGAGACACGCATGGTGACCCGCTACATTGTTCACGTGCCACATCTGTGTACTGTAACCACAGGATGATTCCCGTTTGTGGTGTGTCTGTAGGTGACTGGGATGTGCTCGCTAACGGGCAGCATACCAGCACAGAAGGCTGATCCATCATAAATGTTGGAAGTCTCTCTGAAGGGACTGTCTGTACCACTGACATCATGGTGATCCCTGCTGATGACCACAGGAGCCTGGTGCAGAGAATCGATAGTCTCACCGGCAGGTAACTTCCGAAACGCCAGCGACACAATGCAAACGCTTCCGCTGTTTACCGAGACTTTCCCTTTTGCAATGGCACTGTTGATGGCTAAGGCGATGGATACTCGCCCCTTTTGGTCGGAATACAGGATTCTTGCTTGGGATCCCACTACCTACACAGGGGGCAGTTAGCCAGATGTGAAATGTCCCAGTGTCACACCAGAAATCAATGTCAGGCATTTTATAGTGTTCATGACATGTTTCAGCATACAGAGCCGTACACTGCGCTGTCTATGGGTGTGCTGTGCTTTTATAGAAACACAGCAGATTGCAGTTTAGTTCCCAGGCAGATTTTTCAGGTTTTTCTTTACCATGTTATGTTTCCCTGCCTGCTGGATCCAGAGGATGTTGTCTTTGTACTGCTGTCTCACACGCTCTGAAACTGAAGCACACAGAAATGTTCTTTTGCAACATTGCACTTTAAATATGTAGCATGCAGAACGTTTCAGAAGATTTGACTAAATTCAAGGCTTTTGCGCTTATGTACCAAAAAATACAAATAACGGTACAAGACTTCCTCCTGAAACCCTGTTTAAAGGACTCTATACTAGCCAATCTGTTCCTCACAGACGCATATACAGTCCACGTTTTTGCTTCCTTCCAGGAGCTGGGAGGGAGCAAAAATGTGAACAGACCAAGGACCAGATTGGGAAGCACCTGTCTATAACCATACGTGCCATATGTCCCCGCGACCCAGATGGATTAAGCGGTATAGATAATGGATGGATGGATGTGCCATATGCTGCAGGGAATAAGCTCCAATTCCCCCCTCCCAGTGACCCTGTACTGGATAAACAGTGGGAAGATAGATGGATATGACACAAGGTTGGGGTACACCATAGGCAGGGTGGCAGTCAATCGCAGGACACACACCCACACACCATGTGCAATTTATAAACACCGATTAAGGTAATTGTCTGTCTGTCTGTCTGTCTGTCTGACTGACTGACTGACTGACTGACTGTTTAGTGAGCTACAGACCCATATGGCTGTATCCCAACCCACTATCCTGAAAACACACCTGAAAGGCTGAGCTTCTCCAGCACGGCAGTGGCGATTTCATCCGTCACCGCCAGGTCATGAGGGTCCCCCGAAGTGCACACCCAGCGGAAGGGGCCAAAACCCAGCGAGAAAATATCTCTGCAGATATATTACAAACAGCGTAGTACAACACTGTACCTAATAACTGGTCGCTGCAGCCTGCCACACTTACCCCATGATGTGCTGCACGTAGGAGGGGTATCTGAACTCTGTTTTCCCACCCCCACTCTTACTCACATCAGCTCCTGCAAGGGGCGGGGCAAACACAGGACTCCCAACATGTGACATATTTCCTTCATCTGTTTTTTGACTAGGATTGAGCAGTTAGAGCCAAACATGATAATCGTAGGAGTAAAGTTAAGGACATCTAATAAAAATAAAGAAGGGGTTTAAAGGAGGATTGAACCAATCAAATAATTAGTACATTTACAGATTTTTTGAGGGCTTTATGGAGGATTTGCCTGTAAAGGGAACAGCGCTGTGGATTTTCTATTAAGGAGTTACATCACACTTATTTATAGTTCAGATTTACAAACTGATATCAAATTTAGAAACTGATATCATACTGGAGAAAATAAGTTTAAGCTGAAAGATCCTACAGCAAGTAGATTTAGGTATCTGGACCAGCCACCTTCAGTCCTTAAACCATACTCACCTGCTCTTTTAGCCTCCAAGAGGAAGGCGTTACCGTAGTCCCAGAAGAACATGCCAGCCTCCGACAGCGTGTTGATGGCTTTAACCTGCCTACAGAGGCTGTGGACCAAGAAGACCTAAGATCAGAGCCCTTATAGAGAGGGCTGTTGCTAAAATGCTGTGCTGATCTACCAGTCCACACTTACAACTGATCTGGATGAGAACTTACCTCCTTTGGACCAGGATCTGAAACTGTGCTGGTTCTGTGGACATAAGCTGATGAGCTTGGTGCAGACTGAGCTGTACTGGATAGTAGCCTCCACTGAAGGGGTTGTGGAGGGAGGTCTGGTCTGATCCCAGATCTACCAGCAGCTCCCCAGTAGCCTCATATTCTTTGACTAGCCTCTCCCTGACATAGAGAGACCATGGCGTGAATTCATCACCCCACATATTCTACTTAGAATATCCTTTTATTTTACTATGGGTGAAGTACAAGGGTGGACAAAATAATGGAAACATCACACGAGAAGGACATTTCAATATAAACCAAATCTCAATTGCAAATGCAGCTTCCAAGGTTGAATGCAAATTAGCAGCATGTGTCAGTCATGAGGTCTGACAATCAACATTTTGATATGTGAGTTTTAACAGAATGTCAGAAGCTTCGCTAAGCTGGAATTTATGGCAGAGCTACTGTTTGGAAACCGCTCGTATACAGCATACCAAGACTTGTAACCTGGTGTGAGGAGCACAAAACCTGGACCTCTAACCAACAGAAAAAGTAATAAGGTCTGATAAGCCATCACCCCACAGTATCTGTTGGTATGGAGAGGCATCTCACAGGAGTCATTAGGAACAATCATTGTCATCATGGTCGTTTATCAGCCAAGGAATATGAGGCCGTTTTATAGGACCAGGAGCTCTCTGTGCAACCCATACAAACTGCTAAATCAATCCAACAGTGAGGGATGAAGGAGGTAGGAATCTAATCTGCGTTCTGCGCTCCACAAGTTCCAATGAAAGTTCAGTGATGCTTTGATCTTGAGGCTCATAGAAGGCATTAGACTTCATCCTGGTGTTCATGAAAACAAAGAACTGGAGGCTTTTTCGTCCTGTATCGCACTTTGCATAATTCAGCACTTGTGTACCAGCAGTCCAAGAAGAACTGAAGCCATTTTGAGAGCAAAGGACGGCCCTACCCCTAGATATTGAATATCAGACTCATTGATATTAATTTGTTGTTTGGTGTTCCAGTGAATTCAGCCACAGCTCCATGCATGAGACAGTGTATGGAAAGGATAACCAAGAAATAAGAAGCTTTGATTCTCATATTGATCCTATACCAGCGATCCTCAGCCCATGGATCTCAACCCAAATTTGGGTCACGGCAAGTTCTGAAAGGGTCACAAGGCAGAGTTGGAAATGTAAACATTTTAAAACCAGCAAGCTACTATGCTGATTCATGATCATATTTCCCAACTACAATTTTACAATGAACCTATATAAATCAGTCTTGGGTCTGCAACTGTTTAGCGCAAAACTAGCAAACACTCAACCAATCCAAGAAGCCAAACCACAGGTACTTGATTAAAATTTCACTGGCACATCCAATCAGATTGTACCATAGGCATTGATTGGTGTAAATTAGAGAGTGCACTGCATGCTTGATCATAGCATTAATTTAGACCTATATTTGATAGAGGGTTGCGACAGCTGTCATGGTAAAAATTCACTCTATATCTTGCAGTTCCACTGATTTAGAAGCAGGAGTCGAATAGCTCAACACCCTTACCACAAATCAACGACGTTGCCATGGTAACCCAAACTGAGAGGAATCTTGGACCTCTTGGCCTCCCTGCAAAACAATAAGTGTGACAGTGTAAGCTACTTATCTGGCTTTTGTGACACTGGAGTCAATGAGCAAATGGTGGCAGCTGTGACCTGATGCGACTGATGCAGTGGTCCAAGTTTCTCGTAACCTCCATCAGCCAGCCCTGCTCATATCTTTTCTTCAAGGGGGCTTCATCCACCTGAGTAGAGATCAGATCACAGTTTAACCACAGGATACACAACCTGCTTAGCACACAGTAGAGGGCAGCCAAACACAGACACAAATGCCACAACGAACATATCATGAAAGGAGCGCATTGGCAGTGGCTGAACTCTGACCTCAGCGATGACCCCCACACAGCCAGCGATGACCGCTGCCTTGGCCTGCGCCCCACTCATGCCTCCCAGGCCCGATGTCACAAACACTCTGCCTCTCAGGTCCCCAGAGCCGAGGTACCGCCGGCCGGCATTCAGAACTGTGAGCTACAGGGAGGGAGACGCACAGGGGGGTGCTGGGACTGCGATCAGCCGTTATGAGCAAAGCAGGAAACGTAACTCTCTGTATTTTGTGAGCATTTGTTCTCTCTCTAAAGAATTAATCGTTCATACAATGAACAGAAGTTAGCTGAAGCAATTTTACAACGACCCTTGAAGAATGCAATGATACTTTCTTCATATGTAAGATGTCTACAGCAGTGTTTCCCAATCCGAGACCCACAGCCGGTCCACGTTTTCGCTCCCTCCAAGCTCCCTGTCAGACGGTCCACATTTTTGCTCCCTCCCAGCTCTGGGTGGACTGTCTGTGGGTCCATGAGGATGGGATGGGGGACACTGGTATAGAGGCATTTAAACAGTGTTTTGGGGGGGAAACCACAACACAAACAAGGGAGCCAAAACGTGGACTGTCTGTGGGTCCCCAAGGACTGTATTGGGAAACATTGGTCTACAGGATAAAGCTGACTGATTGAGTGAGAGGCTGAGGAGGAACAGGGGTTGTGACAGATCTCCAGGGTGCGGATGAGACACCCACCATAGTGCCGTGCACTATTCCCTGAGGGCCAATGTAGCAGTAGCTTCCTGCTGTCATCTGCCCATACCTGAGCAGAGCAGGAAAACACAAAGGCAATATAGGGGTGTCCGTCTATGCAAAGCCATACACAGCCATTAGATTAACAAAAGACTTTATTAAACTCTAAAAAGAACACGATGGGGAAACCAGAAGATAAAGGGACCACAAGGGGTCAAAACCAGAACAGGTAATACAAGTAAATTATTTGAGTTGGAAATTTTAAAGTAAATTTACAACTAAATTAATCACAAAGAAAATGAACACTAATAAGGGAACTGGAGTAAAACTGGGAGTAGGACTGGGAGACAAACATGCTGTGACAACGACAACGACTGACTGTGGAAATGAACAAAGACGGGCATGTAAATACACAGATAACAAAGACTAACAAGGGGCAGGTGTGGGCTATAAGGAATTAAGGGCAACAAGGAGCAGGTGAGGTCGATTAACAGATACCACAGATAAAAATAGCAAAGGAAACAAGGACAACTGAACATAATACAACCAGGGAGCAAACACAAGGGACTGAAACAGAAATACATAAAACATGTTAAACCAAGAACACAAAACAACAAACGTTAAATAACAATTAGTAATCCCCGGGGAGTGGGACAACAAGACAGAGGGGGAAACTGGATGGCCAGTGACACCTGCTGGCCAAATAAGGACAAGACACATGGCACAGGATCAGAAGGGCACCAATCCTGACAGACTGCAAATTTACTTTCACTTTGCATTAATTTGGATTTCAAATAGGCGATAGTAGATGAAAAGCAATTGAACCTAAATCACATTAGAATAGGGCCTGAAGTACTCACATTGTAACCCCCAATGCAAACATCTTTTCATATTCTTCCCTGGAAGAGTAGTTGGGGATGACCTAGGATAATTAAGAGAAGGAGAGACAAACCGAGAGGTGAAGCATCAAACCGATGAAGATCTCAAAGAGACAGAAGGGAGGAAGAGCTGAGCTGTCACCATGCCGTTAGTGATGACGGCCCGGGGGGCGGAGGGGGAACTGGGGAAGAGGCCCTGGGGGTGTCCGCTGTACAGCACTAGGGTTTGCTCCTCCGACATCTCGCTCAGGTAGCGCAGCACCAACCAGAACTGCCAAAGCGAAACAGCACCATGTGTCACCGAGTCCAGGCTGGGAATGTAGGTCAGGCTTGCAGTCCCAGGTCCGGTCTCACCTGAGCCCAGTTACTGAACACTTGCCCATTTCCCCCATAGGTAACAAGTTCCTGAGGAAACTGGGACACAGAGGAGGGGGACAGAGCAGAAATCGGGACATTTAGTAACACGTCACTGACGTGAGAGCAAGGAAAACAGGTCATATGCGTGTTAAATACACAGCAAAACATTATTTATATATCTCAGATGGAGGATTTGGAGAACTTGACGTTGTACTAGTGTATAAAACAATGCTTTTTCAGAACAATAAAGTGAATACTTCAGTGAATGGGTGCAGCACACAAAAGGTGCATCATTGTATCATAAAGAGAATGATGTGCAGCTTTGACACGGCTGCGCAGAGCGAGGGCTGGGAGGGTTACCTGTGCGACAGCGGGGTCCAGATTGTTCATGATCATGTGGATGATGGCAGCAGACTGCCGGGTGCGACAGGGGTACTGGTCAATGGGATACGCCCTTAAACGTACAGCGTGATTCATTACCCACGAGCACTCAGTAAACACACAAGGACACTTACAGGCACATGTAAGTCAAATTCTTGCATATAAAAAATCTTTAAAATAATGAGTAGGGTGTGCAGGTCTGTAACTGCAAGCAATGTTGTGGACATTTTACTGTGTCAGGATGAATCAACAGAGGAGGTTACATGAATAAAAATGAGGACGATAGCCTGTGATTTATTAATGGCTCAAAGTAATGTACTTTTCAGGTCTAATAAAATATACCTGTACCATTAATGAAATGCAAAAAGGAAATAAGTGCTATGTATGGACAGAGCAATTGGTTTTAAATGAGAAAGGTGTGCTGATGCTGTATTAAAGGGTCTAAACTTGATGTAAAATCTTAAGTCCCCATAATCCTAGTTTAGAGTGGTCAAATTTAAATGAAGAGGGGTCCCTGAAGTGCAGTAGCCACCAGCATGTCACAGGGACCCGGTGATCAGCCTGCACAGCGTTTATCAGACACTGGACTTGTCTGTATGTGTATCTTATGTATACACGAGTATTTGATTTTGTTTCGTAGGCAAGGAATTCCACACTGCTGCAAAGTGGATGTGAAAGGATAATTCATTTAACCTGCCCGCCCAGGTTAACAACTTCTACCGTCACCAGCCCTGAAGCTCCCCGGTGAAAACTTTCAATTGTTACCATTTCCCTCCACCCCACCCCCCTGGGACACCAACTTTAGGGGAAGCATGGAAACATATCATATTCTGACAGCTGATTTGGATGGACCGTTGAAAATCCACCCCCACCCCACTCTCAAATGGTGATGAATGGGGCAGAAAGGCAGATTAAATGGGTCCCACCTCATTCTGATGGGGGGGCAGAAGCGGTACATGTAGATATGCCCATACTGCCGCAGCTCCTCAGCAAATTCTGGAGCCAGGGTGGCATGGAGATGAGGGGGGAAGTACCGCAGGGCATTTCTGAGGGCCAGCTGAAGGAGAACAGAGAAGAAAGGGTGAAGTACAGGGACTCTGTGAGCAGGAACGGGACTCTGTGAGCAGGCTGCAGAGATGAAAGGGAGTCTGTGAGCAGGCTGCAGAGAGGAAAGGGAGTCTGTGAGCAGGCTGCAGAGAGGAACGGGACTCTGTGAGCAGGAACGGCACTCCGTGAGCAGACTGCAGGGAGGAAAGGGACTCTGTGAGCAGGAACGGGACTCTGTGAGCAGGCTGCAGAGAGGAAAGGGACTCTGTGAGCAGGAACGAGACTCTGTGAGCAGGCTGCGGAGAGGAATGGGACTCTGTGAGCAGGAACGGGACTCTGTGAGCAGGCTGCGGAGAGGAACGGGACTCTGTGAGTAGGAACGGGACTCTGCGAGCAGGCTGCAGAGAGGAACGGGACTCTGTGAGCAGGAACGAGACTCTGTGAGCAGGCTGCAGAGAGGAATGGGACTCTGTGAGTAGGAACGAGACTCTGTGAGCAGGCTGCAGAGAGGAACGGGACTCTGTGAGCAGGCTGCAGAGAGGAACGGGACTCTGTGAGCAGGCTGCAGAGAGGAAAGGGACTCTGTGAGCAGGAAAAGGACTCTGTGAGCAGACTGCCAAAGGGAAAGGGACTCGCTGTGCAGTTCTGAGTGCCCGCCGGCATGCTCACTAGCTGTGTGCAGTGCTCACAAGCCCGCCGCTCCCCACATGTTTGCCTGCAGTTGATTATGTTTCATACTGTCAAGCTGCCATGTTGTTGTTTTCTCAATTTTCTAAAGCATGCTGATCCCAACAATACTTGATGGCTAGGAAACATGTCCCTATTGTGAATTAATGTTTGCAAATTACAAAGAGGTTGTTCAATTATAGAGTACTTACATTTCACAGCTATAAAATATAATAAAAAAAAACATTTACAATAGGTATTAATACCCCAACAATGAAATGAAGCAATACATGTTAAAAATATGTAATAATAAATAATGCAAGATAATGTACCATTTTCCGTGGCACAAGTTTTTAAATTATTATGAAATGAATATAACGTGCATTCTTTTTAAAATATAGTTGCTGATTTTTAATATTTGAATATCTATCGTGTAGCTCCAGATCATGTAAAATAGACCTGTAAATGGCTGAATGTACATAAATAACAACGAAATGTTTTTTCCCCAAAAGGAAACTTAATGAATCAATAATAAACTATAAGGAAGTGCTTGATTTTACCTAAAATAAATGCCATATTTAAAAATCATGGTGATTGGTGTGCTTTTGCTGTCTCTCAAAGATCTGCTGATGAAGCTGCACTTACCTTCTCCTCCTGGGCAGATAAGTTTGGAGTGCGGACTGGAGCGTGGGGAATATTGGGGTCTCGCCCTGTGTTAGGAGGCAGGGGGTCCAGAGGTAACCCCTTCAAAAGGTCCTTCAATGTGCACATCTTGTGCAGAAACAGAAGTGCTCACTAAGTGTGAGAGTCTTCGGTGAAAATCTTTAATAAGTATGAATAGTCGCAAAGGCACCCATGGAGAGGTGGAGTCCACTGACCTCTGCATTAAGTTCCTGACCAGACGTACAGGACACTGCAATCGCCCAGGTGTAGAAGCAATGACAACCGCCAGCCCCTCCTCCCTTTTTCATTGGCTGGTCTACCGCATACCCCCTATTTGTTCCACCAATCACGCAAAAATTCAGTGCCAGCAATCACTGATCTCATAAGACTTGATGTTTTGCCTGGTTAAACTGGCAAACATTGTCAAAAGTAGATCACAAAGATTTTTGCTGATGGGAGACAGACAAGCGAACACTGACTGAACCTTTGGACTGCCTCTTAACCATGTACAAACAAATACTTAACTGGCCGTCTTCAATCTACAGGTAACATCTGAATAGTGCGGCTGGTGTCAGTTTTTCAACAGATATCTCATCGCAGTGAGGAGCATTTCTTGGTACAAGACCGGAGAACTTGATGCACTACAGAGAATAAAACTCACAAGATGGCTCCTGGGCAGTATCTTCATATTCCAATTGTATATATTGTATATATTTATATTTACTTTACAGCGTAACATCTGAGGGAAAAGTTATGTGTAAGTTTCAGGCCACTTACTTCGAATGGAGAAAAGGACTAAGGAGATAAAAGGAACTGGCGATATATAAATGAAATAAGCTGAGCAGCAAAGTGCATCTGAAGGGACGCGTCATATTTTGAAGTTACTTTCTTGCATGTTGAATATTATCTATTGCTCAAACCATGTCATCAGCAATCATTAACTGACTTAGCTAAATTGATTGTATCGTAGAATAATAGAGCAGTGTTTCTGAAACTGATCCTTGGGGACCGCCAGACAGTCCATGTTTTTGCTGCCTCCCAGTTCCTGGTAGGGAGCAAAAACATGGACTGTCTGAGGGTCCCCGACGACCGGGTTGAGAAACACTGTAATACAGTAGAGTATTATAGTTAATCTCCTGTTCCTTTAACCCTGATGACTGAGCTCAAACCACCATTCCTTGATCAGGATGACAGAAAATGAAATTATGCTTTACTTGCCATTGTAGGTACTAGTACCGGCACAGAGGAGTTCTTTAGTTTTGTTGCTCACATATATAGAGGTGAGAGTGAAGCCTGAGGTCCGAGTGCAGGGCCATCATTAATCCAGCAGCCCAGCAAAATTTCTGGTTGGAAACATTCTCAGAGCACAGTATATTCTAATGTTTTGTGGGCTTTCTACATCATGTATGCAAAACTTACAATGACCTCAGTTTGTAACTAAGAAAATTACAGAGAGCAAAATTGGCCACTCGGTAGCTGTGTGCATTTGTTCTTTAAGTGGGTGTCCAGTTACATGTTTACATTTAGCATAGGTTAGGGTAATTTGATCACTGTTGGCTACCTGAGAGTGTGAATACTTTAATGATTCTCTCACCTTTAATACACATTCAGACAATGCACGTAATCTACTCTCTTCTTTATGTTAATCTAGTGGCAACATTAAGCTAAAATGGTTGCAAACTGTTGCAGACAGTTGCCCTTTACTGCTGGCATGCCAGTATGTAGTCTCTTGTCCAGATCTGTGGATATTTTAACAATTACTTGCTAACTCATTTGCATCTAAAAAGCTAGCTGTAAACTCTTGGACACTAGTTTTCTGTATTATCGCCCCTATTAAACACAGAATGCGGAATATTTTTTGTTACCTAGAAATGAGCTGCTATACTTTCAGATACACAAATGGGCTCTACACATCATAAGGATAGCATGGTGGTACAGTGAGTAATACTGCCCCCCCCCCCCCCAAACTGGATAAACAGAAGCTGGATAAGCTTCATAAATTATTGCACAAAGTGGATGTGTATAAATGAATGATAATTAATAATTTATGTGCCAAAATTTATAAATATAAATTTCATTTATAAAAATGTATTGTCAATTTCCTTTCAGAATCTGTCCAATCGGACATGAAAAATCCTCACTACTGCTTATCTAATGCTGAATAACCAAACAATTTCTAAATAAAAATGCAGTCAGATGGTTTTCAGACCTGTCTGTGCAGCCAAACTGACACAGAGACCATGTGGCAGAGTGTCAGCAGGGGATTGGAATCGTTCTGTGGGAATGTGGCACTTTGATTTCACAAAGAACTTCAGTGTTTTGCTGCAGGAGATATACTTGTTTTAAGCAGAAGATGCATGTCATACTAACGGTAATATTGATATTCTCAAAATTATGGCTTCCAGCGAAATGAATCATCAGTGAGGATGGTAAGACATTAAGTCTGTATGCCGCTTCCAGGAGAATACGCCCAGTCACCGGACAGATCTGAATAAACATCACTTCAGAAGCCAGGTATTCTGGTTGAGTACAAACATATGGTCTCTGGCTGTACAGGAACAGAGTTATGAGATTATGGTCAAGGACAACTCATCAGATTGCATCACCCTCCTCGACTACCCATTGAGAGTCACCACCCAACCCAGCTAACGGAGGACTCCCAGGTAACACTACCTTTGCATAAAAATGAATGCAAAAGCACGTTAACTTTAAATACATGACTGGTTAATTAAAAGGCCGCCTGGAGATTCCTCATGTATGGTTCCCCGATGATGGAATGATCTGCTGAACTTCATCTGGTCATCAGATTCTCTGTCAACCTACAAGAGACCCATCTGCTCCAGGAATTCCTCCAGGAACCTGATATCTCGATATTCCCCAAATGTTCTTATTGTTGCACTTCTGGTGTAAAGCTGAGTGAGTCACTCACTTAAATAACTGCTTAAAATATCTGGAGAGGAATTAAGGAGGAGTATCACAGCAAAAAATGTTCTTAATAAATGCAGAGTTTATTTAAGCGTGATTTCACACTGGAAATGTGTAAAAAGTGAACTCCGTTAGGTGTTCTGTAATACAGTCAGTGAAAATCCACTTAAAAACTCACCCAGCCCCCATCAACCAGAAGCTGACATATTTGGTCTGAGACGAAGCTCAAAACAGAGACGCATACCTCAACCTGCACTGAGCTAGAAATAAAGCCGTCCTCAGTAAGACTCGCGCGAGCATTCTATCGTTAAAGAAAACATTCTGAAAGCCGGAGGGGGCTGGAACTGTGGCTCAAACTGTTGCCACTTATTATTGGATATAATGGGGGGGGGGGGGGGGGTGATTGTTAAATGAGCAACTAGATGCATCTCAAAAGCCGCTAGGCATAAACCGTCCGATCCCTACAAAGAAGAGAAATATCCCTTTTTCTGTACGTTACCAGTGAACTGTCACACACACATGGTCCCCAAAGCCTAAAAGCCAAACCTGAAGGTGGCGATGACAGCCATCACTGCAGAGGAGAGCAGCTAAAAGGTTGTTTTTAACCATCTTTCTCAGAAAGAAACCTCTGCAAACTTCTATGGCTCCTATGGCGTCAGCGTATTACCAGCGTGTCATACAGAGAACACAGTGCTGGATGTGTTTTCTGTTCTTTGAGAAGCGTGAGGGCAGCCATTCCAAAAAACCCCTCTGTACAGGCGACCGCACTAGGACCTTGCCCACCGATTTTGGGGACATAAAACAAACATTAAAATTGGCCAACAATAATATTAACATTAATTACATTGTGAGGCACAGTTTATAATAACATTTAAGGATGATGATGGTGCCCGTTGTGGATGAAGAACGCCGTGTTTAGAAGAGCAGGGCACCCATGCTGCCCATCTCGCTCTGCTCTTTGACGAAGATCTCGAAATACTGGTAGATGATGGTCACAGCCAATAGGATCCCAGTGCCAGAGCCAATGGCGCCCAGGAAATCAGCCATGACAGAGAGGCCGCCGATACACAGGCCGCCAAAGGCTGCTGCGGTGGGGATGTACCTGCACACAGACACGGGGGGAGATCGCACACGGTGTGTTTGGGGGGGGGGGGGGTGGCGAGGTCAACGCGGTAAGCCGTACCTGTTAAGCTCATGCACCATGGAGGTCTCCCTATGGCCCCTCATCACCATCTGCTGCTCTTTCAGCTGCTTGGCCACCTGTCCAGGACACATTAGGCATGAATCAGGCTAGAGGGAGAAGATCCCTTAGGCCAAGAACCTGCCTAATACAGCAGAGCTGTGTGAGGGCTATGCAATTAACCTGGTTTCTCACACACACACACACACACACACACACACACACACACACACACACACACACACACACACACACACCTTAATTAGCTTCATAAACAGAAATGACCATACATTTTAACTTTATACAGCTAATTTGTACTTCATTTGTGGTTCGAAGGTTAAGATGCACAGTAATTTGTTATCACGGCAGAGTAAATGCGAAAAAAATTAGTGTGCATTTGCTCTGTTACGGCAAGAAATTGCCTGACGTACGTCATTAGACAGTGAATGTGTACCAGTTATGTGCATCTGTTTATAAAATATCCTGGAGAATTGTATTTTTGGTTGCATTTTGTAATTGTATGTTTTGTTGTTTGACTAAAATAAATAGTGGTTTGTTTGTGTTTATCAATTTTGGGATACAGTCGCCCCTCGTTTATCGCGGTTAATCCGTTCCAGACTCTACCGCGTTAAATGAATTTCCGCGAAGTAGGATTCTTTATTTCTTTATTATTCGGCTGCACCTGGCGTTGAAGGATTTGCGGGGGTGCTCGGATACATAGGCCTACAGTCCATATGTACAGTAATTTTAATTGTAATACAGAGGTGTATAATTGACTCAGACAATCGAGCGCGCGCTGTATCATTTTCACTGTGTATCAACTTTTTAATGAATAAATGTATTTGAAAAAACCGCGATAGAGTGAAGCTGCGAAAGTCGAAGCTGCGAAAGTCGAGGGACGACTGTATAAGACTTATTTCGATAGAATAACAGGAAGTCAGTAGTGTGGCTAAAGACGGCGCCTCAGTCTACGGGGGAGAGGGACATTGGAACTTGTTTGGAAACTACTGACAGCCAGTAGTTTTTTACCGCTTTAGCACCAAATAAAGTTTGCTTTTACTTCCTCTTCTGTTTTCAACATTTACATTGGATTAGCGCTTGAGATATCGTTTCTGCTTAATCGTAGCTTGTTGCATGCCTGCCCCATATCCGCCCGCCCTCGGT